GCTCGGTCTTGGCCCGGACCGTACGCGCTCTCTAAATGACGATTGCATCATCTAGTCAGGCTCCCTAGCTGATGAAACAATGAGGTACAATCCAATCAGCACTGGCGCAAACTCGAAAGCTTTCAGTCGATTGCCCGTACGTTGATAATTGTACCTTGAGTTACTTGCAATTTTGGTGGCCGAGGATCAAGTACAAAGCCAAAGTCTAAGGAATCTCCTACATTCAATCTGATATTGAGTAGTAAAACGGCGCAGAGTCGCCAGGTGGGATGACGTAGCCGTGTTACGTAAGAAATGCGGGTTTTAAATAATTACATTCGTTGTCAATGACACCCTAAGTTGATCAGGACCTTCGGCGCAGAAGAACAACACCAAATAGATTTTACTGCGGATGGTGGAACAGATAAGAACGAAAGCAAAAAAGAGAGCCACAATCAAACCATACATTATTAGAGGTCCGCTAGTCCCGGGAAAAGGCGGTCTGCTCTTTTCATCATGGTTTGTGAACCTACGTTGGACTTGAAGTCTGCAGATAGTGGATATGAATTGATCAGAGCTGGCCGTTGGCAAGGTCCTCGCTATTAGCTGAGTAGCCCATTGATCAAATTATCAAATGATGCATGACTCAATGATATCGGAACCGGCTGCGGTTTGACATGTACTCCACATGCTTCCAATGTGCTAGAAAATTTCGGGCATCATGGTGCATCATGTGCATGAGGCCCGGGAGTGGCAGGCTGTGTAGCACCTACGCTAGCCCACGTATCATTACATTCGCTTGCTCCAACCAACACATCATGACACTTAAATCCTCCCAGGCAACCAAGTACGTTTGATTGAACTGATATTAAATCTAAGTCGTGTTATAGACATCCTGACTTCCCTGATTGGCAGTCGTACAGATGCAATGCATGCTGGTCGAGGAGCATCAAGTCATCTTTCCACGATCGAAATTAAGCGCTCGAATGTCCGGTACATACTTTAATTTTCATGCAACAATGCCTAACTTTGTCCGCAATAAGTCACAGGTAGTGTAGACGCATGATCACTCGTGGGTGGCGTTGGTGTGGATACACGTAGTTGAATGAATTTCATCTCGCCCGCTTCGTCTTGTATATCAAGCTATCGCCTCATAAAAGACGCAAAAGGTGTCATCACAAGGAACGAGGCATCCATAATAATAATCCTTTCTGAGCGACGGAGACAACCATGAATCATGTAACGTTGTCGTGGGTGCATGAATGAGACGATAAAAAACTAGATTTGATCGATAAGCCTCTTTCAGTTTGAATCAACAGCAAAGCTCGCGCTTTGAAAATATAATTTAATAATTACGGAGCATCAACAGGGTTCCAGCTGATAGACCCCTCTTTTCCACGGTCAAGCCCGTCAAGTTGCTCCATCTCTTCTAGTTCCAGTTCAAAATCATACAATTGAGCGTTCGATCTGATGCGTTCTGGCGTTGCTGATTTGGGCAGCGGAACGAAGCTAAACCGATGTAAATTCAACTTCAAAAATGAAAAGACAGCGCCAAACCCTTTTTGAAGCGACCACCGAAGGAGCACTTGGGCTGCGTCGCGACCATGCTAAGAAGGCCTTGTAGTCATATCTGGTATAGCGCTTCAGAAGCAGGACTAACATTCTGCGCTATTGTTTGAATGATCGGATGATCCATTTTCCCTCGCATAATCGGACAGTAGGCTTGGACCACGATCGAGTGTTCACGGCAATAGTCCACTATGGGCCGTTGCTGGCAAAATGGGTGAAGCTGCCAGCATGCAATGAGTGGAATGGTACTACTGTTCATCAAAATCAGTTGCATGCCTCAATTTGATTCACCGCAGGCATATCATATTTTGCATCTGCAATCTCTTCTAAATGCTTGATCCCACTGAAAAATGGTGCATGATAATTACGACTATCTCTTCTTTACTAGGAAACAAGGCAGAAAACGCACTAATTTGAAACGCCAATTGATCGTATTTTTCCCGCATCACGGGCATCTTGCAAAGCCCTGTATGTGGCTAGACGGCGCTCAGAGCCAGAATACGGGTCGTGAATGAGGAATAAGTCGATGTACTCTAGTAAGTTAAAAAGACGTAAGAATATTTACATACTAAGAATTCGTTCAACAATGACTCACCAAAGCCAAATTTAGCGAGAGATTCATCGACACCCTTCAGCGTGCTATCATACCCGTGATTTTTGCTGATACATTTTGTCGCTAATGTTCGTTCGGTAAGGGATGGAAGCTCATTTCCTGCAGAACCACCTTCAGCGACACGCACTAATGAAAAGTTCTCCTCGGTCAATGCCGCTATCTCTGACAGCTTCCCCAACAGCCGCTTCATTGCGATAAGCTTGGGCTGAATCCACGTGTCTGAGATGGTTCATTACAATGGGGAAAGCATCAACGATGGTCATAAATTATATCACCTGAAGCCCGCTCGCAGTGCCTCAAGAACTGACGTTCGGGTAGTGAAATTTTGATACACGCCAAATCCCAGGAGTGGCATTGTATGGCCTATGGTCGTGCCGTACGAGGGGATTCTCACTAGTTTAGCCGTAGACAGGTATTAAAAACACAAATTATTACCTGACACCAGTTGAATTCTAGACTCGATCGTAAGTGTCATAGTACAAGGTGGACTCGGTAAACGTGTCCATCGTGCCAAGTATCCGCAGCTTCCTCAGGCTGTTTCATTGTTTGTAACAGCTTGTCAGACTCCCGATTTGAAAAGACCGCTGAGACGTAAAAATAAAGGCAAGCGAGAGAAACGTCAGGAACAAACTATGTAGTGTACAGTTCACGATGAAATCAAAGAAGTATATTCACGTTGGGCGCCAAGAGACCTCTATTGTCATTCGCTAGTCAAAGTCGGGAAGCGATGACGAGACTGAGATTAAAGTACGTGCTCAATGCACTGCGGGCAAGGTCAGCTGCGCAATCAGGCCGAAACCTTAACCTTACTGAGTACTGTGACCGCACATTAGTCTGCCCCGCTCTAGGACTGCATCGCTCTTTGTCTCTCTAAGCGCTCTCGCATCACTCTCTGCGCATCTGCTTTCGCCGAGTCAAGCTTTCCAGCCTTTGCTAGAGCCAACAATAAAGCATGCACAAGGCCGATGTGGTTGTGGCGACGCGAGCTGTTCTCAAACTTTGAAAACAGAATCAAAAGTGTGAGCATCGGCAACAAAATATTCGGTACTCACTGCCCAACGTTCGCGCTTAGAGTTTTCATTGGAAATTTTGTTCATAAGATCGCTCATTTCAGCATCCTCTGCTGAACCTTGTAGAGCGTCTAAACGTCTTCTCATTCCAGGTATTGGGTCATCCCGAAGAGCGAGTAAGCTGAACTCAAGCTACGGAATATAAGTTGAGACATAAAACATGAATTACATATTTTGCTTACTGCTCCAGTCGGGTAAGTGTGTATCCGGTTCTCTATAACTTCCCTAGAAAGCGGGGATTAAATGACAAAATATGACGACGGCGTGTCGCTAAGTACCTTGCTTTTTTAACCCATCCCTCTCCGGATCCGTCATATTCTCCATGTCGCACCGGGTAAGGTTTCAGTCCATCAAGTTCATACAGACTCCCCAGCACTGGAAGGTAAACAACGAAGTGATAGGCTTCTTCGCTCTTCTTCGAAAGGTCTAGACCATCTAACGAGATGGAGCTAGGTGGAGAAAGCGCGTTATGAGCTTCTCGAAGCCAATCCGCGCTTGTGATAGCCATCCCACATGTCTGTGGGTCCATGCCTGAGGTAAAGTTCAAGAGGTCCATAAATTGCGGTCCTGCATGGAGAGATGCAATGTTTCCCAGGGCGTTGACAACAGCAAGTGTAGCGCAAGCGTTGTTCACAGTTTGATGGGCGAAGAATCCGGGGAAATCTGAATCATAGTGACCAGCACCAACACCAGGCTCGTCGTCAGGTGATTCAGGGAACCACTTAAACAAGAAGATTAGGGCATGCACAGGCTGTAGCGCCTCCAATGATTCTGGTTCAAGTGAGTAGAGGTCATCGACGATGTAAGGCACTCCGAGGCTTTTGAGTAACTCTCTGTGACCGGTTGCGTGAGTCAGGTAGATCAGTTATCATCATTTCAACATACGTGAACACCCCAGGGTCAGATTCTGTAAGTTGCCAGCCACTAGAGTCCTCGTCTGACATTATTCACGACGTGCAAAAGCAAAAGCAACAAATTATACCGCGCGTCTAGGTTCGGCTTGCCACGTGACCCTTGTTTGGTGATGCCTTCCGTTCATAACAAGCTTTCTCTTCAATTGCACATGATGGAGGCTTCTGACCCTGCTCAATCGCCTCAGGCCACGACAGAAGATCCACGAGCTGCTAATCGCGACAAATTCGAGCTTGAACTGGAATTTGTGCAGTCGCTGGCAAACCCATACTACCTCCATTCTCTCGCACAGCAGAATATTCTTGATCAACCTGCATTCATCAACTATCTGGAGTATCTCACGTACTGGAAAGAGAAGGATTATGCCCGGTTTATACAGTTCGTCTATAGTTTGCGAGCGTTTACTATACTGCAACCGATGTTTTTGTTCAGCTACCCACACGCACTGCACCATCTTGATTTGCTCCAACACGCCCAATTTAGGTCAGAAATGAAGAAAGATGAATGGCGCGAATATCTCAACCAGAAGCAGTATGACCACTGGCGAACATGGTATGAGATACAGGAGTTTATTAAAGACACTTTCTTGATAATGATCTGTCGCGTCAGGCGAGATTACCCAGGGATTAGTACTAGTGTTGCCTCCACCGACCTTCAAGAAACCGGTGTGCAATCGCAACAGAATGCTCCTTTTGGGTGATATGGTTTACCGGATGTCTTGGCGGAAGCACATGGCGCTTTGGTTAATGAAAGTAACCATAAAATGAAGCGTTGCCAAACATACAGACTCGCAAGGAGTTACTGTTCTATGTCATTTGGTTCTTACATAAATCCTTCTGGCTGTCTTCAAATTGAAAGTTCCCACGCGTGTTAAACACTTCACGCGCAGTGCCACCGTTGCTTGGAATCTTACTGTACATGGCTCATCATGCTGAAAATGACTCTGAAGGTCGTCACTCATACATACCGGTGGAATCAAGCTTCAGGGAGAGTGACCACGGCGAATCCTCCTTTCATATTGCGTCGCTTGCAGAGAAACAGCGGATATGGTGGAGAACTGCCATCATCAATACATGCTTCATAGCTTCGTGGTACGTGGATGTTACTGTAAGGCTCCTGAAACGGGTTCATATGTTGACTACATAGGTATATATTCGCAACCCTACTGTCTTTGTACAACAAGTGGATGTTTTCGCCAGACCTTTTTGGATTTCCGTACCCGCTCTTCGTGACTACCTTGCACATGATTATTCAGTTTATCTTGGCTGCTGCTCTTCGGATCTGTTTCTCGCATCATTTCCGGCCAGAGAGAAGCCCTTCGGTAAAAGACTATGGGTACGTACTTTCTCGCAATAGCTAGTACCCGTCGGGCAGTCCTTGTCCTCACTGGACACCGGTTCTAATTGTAGCCTCTTTGAAGCAAGAAAGCAGTTCCTACTGCCATTGCTACCGGTCTCGATATTGGTCTGTCGAACCTATCACTCAAGACTATTACCCTATCATTCTATAGTGAGTTGTCAGTTCTGAACTTCGCCAGACGCTGGCCGGCCTACGTTTGAACTCTTAATATGTAATTTACGCTCAACTCATACATCTGGTTGTCCACAGCAATGTGCAAGTCATCTTCTCTCATCTTCGTGTTGTCCTTTGCATTTTTCTTCCGTCTGGAAGTGTTCTCTCTGCGACTCGTCGCTGTCATCCTTCTCATTTTTGGTGGGGTGATTCTTATGGTTGCTTCTGAAACGGCCTTCGTTCTTCCCGGGTTTTTACTTGTGATGACCGCCAGTGCATGTGGGGGTCTACGTTGGAGCCTTACGCAACTGCTCCTGAAGAACAAGAATATGGGTCTAGATAATCCTGCAGCTACCATATTCTGGTTGGCTCCTACAATAGGCGCCACGACAGCTCTTCTTAGCGCCATCTGGGAGGGGTGGTTTACCATATACGCTTCGCCATTCTTTCAGGACATGGCCTCCACTCTTCGTTCGGGCCTGTTCTTGGTCGCGCCCGGTATTTTGGCTTTTTGTATGGTCATGAGTGAATACTAGTACGTTTATGATCATGCGTTCAATTCCACGATGTCATCTAATTAGGTCATAAAAGTATAATCCAACGGGCCGGAGTCTTGCCAATGTCAATAGCAGGCATAGCCAAAGAAGTGTCGACCATTACAATTTCGGCTTGGTTTTTCGGAGACACGCTTACGCCACTCAATATAACCGGCGTAGGTATCACAGTTTGCGGTCCGTTTCGAAGCTATATGAATGCGGCACTTCTAACGGCATCTGTAGGGATTGCCCTTTTTACGTTTCACAAGTACCGCGATTCCATTGATGGTAGACTATCAGTGGACGCGCAGGGGAACATGGTAGCGATTAACGACGAAGATGTGGGTGACTCGTCAGATTCTGTGCACGGGGTCAACTTTGAGCTTAGTGCTGCTAATCTCGGACGTCGAGACGATGGTCATTTTGCGGTATGTCGCATCATTACGGAAAACCCTTCTAGAATTATGTATTCATCGAAACGCCACAAAGCATCAGGGGTCTGTTGATAACGACGCGCATCAGCGCCTGCTTTTTTCCACCGATCATGACGATTCGGATGATCATCATGAAGGCGAAGAAGATGCCGAACTAGTCCGGAGTATTCAGTTCTCTAAGTTCAATTGGGAGGCTGAAAGAGGTATAGACGAGAACTAGGGCCCCGGATGCGCTTCCAATTACATAGCCATCATATGCAGACTAGTTACCAACCTTGACCTTTTTTTTGACAAGAAGTTGCAACCTGAAGCGGTTCTTTGAAAGTGAATCCTCCGGCCCATTTGCACCTGATTGAAAAATGATCCCTTGCCCGGGTCGGGAGACTGGAGTCACAATAACCATAAGTCTTCTGGTACTAAATATTACGAACCATTACCTCTCTAATTTGGTCCCGAGCCGTGCACAACTCAAGTTTGTATTAAGCTTAGCTTACGTTGATGTGCAATAATAGTGAACTGTTTGAGTTATGGTTCGAAATTATTGATCCGAGGACACCTGACTCTGGCTGACTTCTGTTCCGTTGAGCCCGGGTACCACGCGGCCTGTCCTGCGCTTACTCTGACTTGGTGGTGATGTGATTTTTTGGTTTAGATGATTGGGCCAGACGAATTGGGAGACAAATTGTAGCAAATCGTTCGGTTACTGCGGAATATTATCTGATGCGATCAATTTAGTCAGCACAGCAAAAACCCTTGGACGAAAGACATGTGGCTGCGCTGGAAAATACCTGGATACGGTGTGAAAATCAGACCCAAGTCCCTCCAAAGTGCCTGTAGGAGGCGATGAGCGGCCTTGCGCACTACGCACTGGCAGGCCCATCAAGGAGCCGGGCACTCCCGTAGGTCAAATTAGAAGGCGATAATCGGACTGCTGCTTTATGACGTGTAACAGTCTAGAGCTTTTGTGATGCGACTAGTAAGTGATATTTCCCGCACGTTTTTTTTTTGCCATCAATGATTAAGTGCTTTGTACTGATTGTCAATCCTATTACGATATGAAACCAGAAGAAACGGCCATTCACGGATTGACTAATAGCATCTGCTAGATCGTTGAAATGCTGGGTTAATGGCGACGTTCTGTTGGGTAAGAGGCCCGATCCATTGTCGCTTATGGACCGTGTATGGGCACGGGAAATCAGCGATAATTCACTTTTGATCTGACTTTCTTCGTGGACAGATCTCACACAACGGCCTCGAGGTATTTAGGCTGTGTGATATATAAATCCGGGCTATTCTGGCTTTTGGATTATTCACTTTACCATGGATGGTTTTCAATTCATTATCGAGTCCCCTCAAGAGACCCAAGGTCACAAGAAACGCCCGCGTCTTGTGACTTCTTGTGATAACTGGTACTGCCCATTCAAATCTCCATCAAGTAATCCATGTTGACCTTTCACCTTGTCCCTCTTCTAGCCGCCTCAAAAAAATCAAGTGTCTGCAGTCATCCCCCGAGACACAATGTGAGGCCTGCAAGGCAGCGAAAATTCCATGCAAGTTTCGCGATCGCGAACGATATTTTGCCGAGCGCAGTCGAGCCATCGCGGGCCCCAGTTCCTCGCCAACATACCATGGATTATCGAGTAGACCAACGATCACGGCTTCAGAGTCTTCAGAGCGCTCCAGTTCGGGTGGTGCAAATGAGCACGCCACCCCGGCATCGACCGCGCACACGCCACCATCGCAGGGATATGCCAACTCCATGTCTCGCTCTCCGTCCTACTCGCCACCAGGAACATCATCCACAGATCATGGTCGATATCAAAGTTATCCAGATCATTCAAGGCCTCCTACAACTCATAGGTAATACATCCACACTCTCAGATATCAACACTCATTGACATGGCCATGGAAGACATACAACTGCAGGTGATGAGCACACTCGTCGATATGGAACTCCTGGTCCAGGTCAGGCATTGGGTCGTTCCCATACCACATCGAGTGGCTACCGGCCAACTCAAGTCTTCGACCCCATGAATCCTCAGATGCCACAACGCAGCTGGATGCCCCATTTCATCCAGATATTCATCAGTCAACTTGGCAGCCAATGCGCGTTCATGACTTACGATGACCTATATGAAAAATTCCGACACCAGACTCTATCCCCTCTACTCTCCAACTGTATTGCAGCACTCGGCGCAAGGTCTGTCTTCTGCGATGCACTCAACTTGTATATGAACGAGATCAAACAGGTTCTCTGACATACCGGATGTTGTCGCGCGTGGTCCCCAGAACGTCGCAGATATTTTCTGTGAGAATGCCAAGGTTCGTGATCGTGTGTGTGGGTCCTGCTGATCTAATGGAATGAGTAGGAGTTGTTGTCCGCGGCACTTAACCAACCATCTCTCGATGTTCTTCACGCTGTCATCACCCTGGCATGGACAGAATACAAAACTGGTCGGCTTCTTGGTAAGTACCGGGAATGTTTCCCGTGTTCATCGGCTAAATGCTTGGCTCCTAGGATTCCGACAATACGGTGATGTGAGTGAAATTGGAATGTTTGGCTAGCTCGTTTCTGACAAACGATCAGCTTGCCATGAGAACCGCAATGGCTATAGGACTGTCTGAAGAATCCACCAGGCAGATGAGCCCTTATGACAGTTACCAAAATCGTCTTCGTTTGACATGGCAAAGTGTCTCTCAGTTGTACGCCTCATCAGCTTGTGAGTTCTCAGGCTTGTTGTGATTCAAACCACCCTAATCATAACCAAGTGTCGGGGTAATTTTAACGGTCGACCGATTTTTACGCCCGCTGCACCAGCCATGCCAAAATCTTGCTTTGTCATTTAACTTCAATGCTTATGCCCCTCTTGCCTTGGTTAAGCCTTTGGGAAGACCTTTGGGTTTCTCATTCCACTCGGAGACCGCTGGCAGGCTTCCTTCGTTGACCATATATTTCGTGCTGCCTTTATTTATTAACCTGACATATATATCAACTCACATCAATAATACCACCAGACTGCATGTTACATTGATTACAATCACATCCCTGTATACACAGAATTTCCAAAGTTGAAACAACGTGCAAGAACATCTGCTCCACGAGTTTGCATCATTGTCAGCTAACCTGTGCATATATGCTGCGGCACATCACCATGGGAAGGTCGATCATCAACATCACCATCATGCTCAAGATCGGCAGTTGGTTTACTCCCCATAGATCAATCGTACGCCGATCAAACGCTCCTACGCTCCCCAGTCCCGTAGTTCGCGCATTTAAGTTTGCGTTTTTACTTACAAAGTGGTCGGCGGCCGAGTTGTGCCGATGCGGAAACAGGGTTTGAAACATGCTATCCCACGTTTGTGAGCTAACTTTGTATTTATTTAGCCTAATCGCGAAGCTTAATCACGAAAAAGATTTAAGACAGGACAAGAAAACGGTCAAATGATGCGCTGTAACGCTGAAGTTAAGCGCTGAAGCTGAAGGCTCGTGCTCGGTGACATGATGCACTGGCACTGACTAAGAAATCCTCGACTTCCGAGGACTTTCTGGACGGGCTGTTCGGAATGGGAAGTGTTCTATTTTTTTTCTTCCAATTGCAGACCTGTAAGTCGGGACCATGCTGTATTTGAGGAACAGCTGACTTTTTTCTATCAAATGGTCTGATGCATGGCTACAAGACTAAGCAGGGCGATTAAACTACTTACCTACTCTTACCTCACCAATCATAGTACACGGCTACTTCCAGAGCCCGGGGTTCGGTGACTGTTAGCGCCAATGTGTATATGTTCAGAACTGTCCAGTATATGTTCCGACGGCTTTTGTCGAGTGCATAACGAGAATGGAAGTGCTGGAACGACTGCATCTGGAATGAGTGTCCGTCATTCCGCACTGCGGCTGCGGCTGCGCTCGAGGGACGAACTGACAAGTGCATGATTCGCAGGTACATAATACATATGCCGGCGGTGCGCAGTAGAGTTAGGTTGTGAAATTTAAAATCTTAGTCTTGCACCGCACAATAGAACGGGCTCAATTATTACGAGGTAGCAGTATCCCGGAATGAATGCATGCCTGCGCCCTGGAGGCTGGGTATACAGTTCTCTTGCAAGTAGTCCCGTGTTTCAATGCAGAAGGGTCGGTGGTCTAAGGCCAATCCGATTTAGGCACGGTGGGCTTCTCGGCGAGGCTGGTCGCGTAAAACCGTGACGCCGGCGACTGTGTGTCTTTTATAATTTTAAGCTTGTTCATCCCCGCCGACCGGCAAACTTCATGCGTCAGGGGTTGATTGTATGTGTAGTTTCGCGGCAAGCTCCCCGACCCTGTCATTCTGAGCGCTGAGGCATAATGTTTTAACAGGGTTGAAAGTTTAACCTTGCGCCACCGCTGCGATATGATGGTCGCAAACAGTGTAAGAGTGTTACTACAGCCCGTATGTGGTAGTCAACATTTAGCGAGTGTCACGGACTTTGAGGCGTTTTAAATACGTGAGATCAACTCTCCACATGATCTTGTTGTTGTGAGTTACTGATCAGGACCGAGGAGGTTGTATCAATGCAGCCCGCGGGTGGTTTTTCAGGTGACATTCCAGTGAAACAGAATCACGGACGCAAAATGACCGGGAACTGACCGACGGGGGAAATTTAAATTTGCTGGTGTGAAATTTCTCCAACAAGAAAGTTCTCGAAAGATGTGGCCTGACTTCACACTACAGTGGAGAAAGGGTATCTCATACATGCCATCGCCCAGAACAGGAGGTCAGTAGAAAATGCACTACAATCGCCTACCGTACAATTCCTACGCAAAGACTTACCCATCCATCTGCACCCGCCATACAAGCCCCTAGCCATGCCATCTCCGCATCAGGAGGTACCAGCACACCATGCATCATAGCATAAGCAAGTTCTGGGCCAGAATATGGCGCAGGTGGAAAGAGGAGGGGAAGATGCGTAGATAGATAATGCACTAAGGTATGCGCCGAGCCTATTTAGTAACTCGATCAGTTCCAACAATCCTTTACTGGCAATCCTTTGGAGAGAAACATACCATCTTCAAGGGTCGGAGAGACAACGTCTTGCATCACGGGCCCGTCAGGTAAATACAACCTAACTGGGACACTGCGAACGTTATAAGCATTATCGCGGTCCGATGCACTCTGCGGGTCTGTAGATGGTGGCCTTGCATGCATCGATGGATTTGTGGAAGGTGGTGGAGAGTTCGACCGCGCAGGTGCGGTTGTAGGCACTACCTTAGATGCTACGCGCCAATAGTCCTCGAAGTTATCTAGAAATGACGAGCATCCTGAATTGCGCATACACGCAATAAAACGGCTGGCTCACGTTCTTTGATGCCTTCCCAGATACCATCCTGGTCTTGCTTCCGGAGACCTGTCATGCGCTTCGTGTTTCCCCATCGTATGAAGTCTGCCTCCTTGAGCTGCCCCATAAAAGCTTGTTTACACGACTCGGCAGAAGGCGAGAGAAGAAGCTTCTCTGTGGGAGGTGATGCAAGGTGGAGAATGAGCTTCAAGGGAGTCACTTGCAGATTGTAATGAGATGTGGAAGTCTGAGACGGAGGCCGAATTGAGGCAGAGATGATGTGATTATCGTAGATCAGCCCTATCGGCCAGTGCCTACCAGAAGATTATGTTCAGGATACATCGTGTACCGCGTTACAAGGGTCTGAAACTAACCACTTCAACAGCGTACCTTCCTCGCTCTCGAACCACCATTCTTCCTCCTTAAGCATCTTTCCAGCTGCCTCATCGAATACGACATCCATCAAGAATCGTCGTATCTCAGGCATGAGAAGAGGCAAGTAACTGACACGAGGAGCTTGAATATAATAACATTCCAGCCCGCGATCAGAATTCGCTGGTAACTCTTTTGAGTCTACGCGAATTTCAAGGGGAACGGTACCCTCCCATGTCAGGCGGCGAAAAAGAGTTGTTGATGCTGGAGTTGAATTCGCAGACGGTTGACCGTGATGGCGCGTAGTACCGTATGCAGACATCAAAACTCTGTCGAGATGGCAACTATTTGCAAGAAGCGCTTCAAGAGAGTCTTAGTCGTGACTCGTTAGAGCAGCAGCGAGTTGATTATGATGATTCACGTGACTCGACGCGCCCAATATGTAGTTACCAGTTCAACTAGCACCATCACACAATATGGTCCACGTCGCAGCACCTTCGCTGGACTGGTTCAGGTTGGTGCCAAAGGCATGCTAGCGGATTCCCTCACAGCACACACGACTTTCTCAAGGCCCTTGGCTTTGAGACGAATATCGCCAAGAACGGGATGACATGCTGTTCCCCCCGGTAACATCCAAGCCAATAAAGGTTGAGAGTACAAGCGATCACAGTAATCTGGATGCCTTTGGAAAGACCACAACTGCACACACTGACCTATGGAACAATCCGCACCAATCATGAGTGATGCATTCTTTCAATCACCACCGTTGCCTGAACTATTCTCCGTACGCATTCCCGACCCTGTTCAATAAAGCGAAGATCTGCCAAGGTCGTAGATTCAGGAGACTTCCTACCTATCATAGACAATTGGATGGTTCTGCCGCCACAATCGCCTCGTATTATTGTCTTGACAAATCCATTCAACAGCGGAGGGAAAACGGACGTTTTTAGGGCTCGACGGGTGGTTCCATGATAGAGTTTTGATGTGCTCGCCGCTACAAGGGCTGTGAATGTACGAAAACGGAGGTCCCTTTCGAGTGCCAGGGAGGCCAAGGACAACTATTAACCCCAAATCTTGAACTCCGATAGCATGATCCTCGGTGTGATCAGGACTGCAGGAAAGGCGTCATAGCCTAATCAGCGGGTTGGATTGCACCACAGAATGCTACAGAGCGTTCTGTAGCATTCTGTAGCACGCTGTGAGGAATTACGTCCCCCTGATGCTGGGAGTTCACGTTTGAAGACTTTCTTCTCAGCTTGCCGTCAAAGAATGTGTCGGTCCGGCGTCGCCACATGAATTCAATTATCGTGGTAATGCTGCTGTTGAGTTGGAGATGGTAGTACCGACGTCGATCAGACAGAAGAACATTCAGAAAGGCAGCCGGCATCATGAGCATTAACCCAGCAGTTCCGGAATCGGCGTCATATTCATGATATCTCGATATCGATGTTCCATGTCATATCCGCAAATTCCATGTTGAGCGATCATGAACGATTCATCACTGAGAGCCTAGACTTCGGACTTCCAGCTCAGTTGGGAGCATATCCAGTAAAAACATCTGTAGCGGGCCGCATAAGGCAAGCTTGGACGGCCCGAACACGAGCATCGCAAATGTTGCAATGTCAAGTAGTTCAGTTACACACATATATACATAGATTAGACGTACGTGTAAATCAAACTGTCCATCATGAATCATATACTCACAAGCGGTGAGTTTAACCTGGTTCTGACCACCTTTAATAATGTTTCCACCGCGGAAATAACACTCTCAGGCTCTGAGTACTTTCTCAGGACATCTAGCACCCAGTCTATTCGCTCATGAAGCGTTTCAAGTGCAAATCTGTCCAACGGAATGTATTCAAGCGTCAACTCTGTAAGGTCTGGCAAGATTTCCACACAATCATCGTTGCCTGAGAGATACACGCTAGGGAATGCATCCCATGCGCCAGGGACGAGTGGCGATAATTTCGCCCTTGAGAACATATCATCGAGTGGAAGTTCCAAAACCTTTGAGACAGCCGTGATCCGCAGGAAAATACCGGCAAGGTAGAATGCGTGAGGGTTGCTGTCCGCGGCTTCCGCCATCAGACTAATGCACCTGTTGATGTGGTCGTCTAGGGAAAGGCGACTGCACCACGCAGGATTCTTTACAAGGGTAAAGAGGAGTTTCAAGTAAGTTCCATCACGTCCTTCATCGAACAAGACACCGTGGCTACCTTCCACACTAGGGGAGATAGCGGTGAGGATGGCGGGGGAAAGCGCAAGTAGTTTCTCCCGTAAATTAGCATAGCCATCTGTATCTCCTATGGCAGCTAGTAGTGTTCTTCGCGTTTCGTATGTAGCACGCAAGGCAGCATAACGCAACCGGGCAGGCTGTTCCGGCCCCATAGACCACAAGAGGGCTTCCAAATAAGCTGCCTCTCTTGTTCGACTTCCGAGACTCTTCATAGCACTAAGTGCCAGGAGTGCATCCGCAAGAGTATCCTCCACTTCATAACCCTCGAGCTCGCGCAGTTCGCAAATATAATCAATGAGCCACTCAAATTCATGGGAAGAACGGGCATCGTGCGCCCAGGTAAACTCCCCATACCAATACAGGAATGAGTCGTCTGGCTGGTAGACGTATCCCAGAGGGCCTTGAGGGATGCAGATAGCTGTGTGCAGCGCAGCTCCTGCTTCGAACAAGCGTCTCTGCATATCTTCTGAGTCCTCAGTTTCGTTGTCAGATAGCGCTGAGCATCCGAGGAAAATTTCTTTGCAGCAAGCAAGACCCGCTCGGAAAAACGAGCCGTCAAGGGGAACTGCCCCTGTCAGCTCAATGATGCGAAGGGCATGTGGGAGACATTTCTTGGCTCTGGAAGCGTAATGTTGCGGATGTGCTCCATCAACGCAACCTTGTAGACAAGCGAGGAGTTTAGTGACAAGTACATCGATAGCAGCACTTCGGTCGCTGTCAGATAGGCGACCTGACGGAAATAAAACAATTGCCATACCTTTTGTCCACCTTCACGAGTATCATTTTGTCGACGTTTAGCCCGAGTAAGATGCCAGCAAGAAGTGTACAATTAGCGAGCACCTGAGCTGACGGGGCTTTATTCGGTATCTTGGCTTCAAGGAGCATCGAGATAATACTCAATGCTAGATCCTCCATTTGCGCGAGCTCGTCGATGTCTTTATGAAGGAGGAAAACATATGGAAGGACTTGGGAAAGCCACAACAAGGTAGCGTCAGACGCTGAAGAGAATTTTGGCGTATCCCGGAAGAATCGATAGGTGTAATCAGCTATCCACTTCTGTCCAAGGTTGATCTTCAATGCATAATCAGCATCCAGCGATTCTTGGCTGAGGAGGTGCCAGAAGTGAAGATATCTAGGCTGAGAAGGCCATTGCGCAGCAGAATAATACTCCCCGTCCAGTCGAAGGTATTCCCTTCCACTGAGATGGACCAGAGCTGTTGCGCAAGCTAGAGCTCGTTCTTTCGCTGGCGCTAACAGCCGATCTTTAGTGTCGAAACAGCTTCCAAGGCTGCGATGCAGGAGAGAAATTATACCGGAAACATCAAAATCGAATGGCCATTCAACTTCGGGGACCAGCTGGCAAGCTGCAATGAATACGTTGGGATCTGTGGATGTTTCGAGCAACCATTTTACGGAAGGAGCATCCGAAGATGCTACGGAGACGGCCGGAAATTCGTACGACAGAGAAATTGCGGGAAGGTACGACTCCGTTGCTTCAGAGAGACGTTTGCCAAACTCGAGATCGCAGATCAAAGGAGCACGGGTCTGCGAGGATCGCAGAGCTCGGATGGAACGTAAACAAGAACTGGTGACCGTTCGAAGAGCAGACAGCATGCTTCTGGCACTAGCAAATCCCGCGAGAAGCGACTTTCCGAGTGCCACGCCTAATCCAATGCATCGCGGAACATATCGCAAATGGTATAGATCATGGAACTGAACCATGCGAATTACAATGAGTTGACAAGTAAGTCTGATGACGACAGACACAGGCGTCTGAAAGGGACAATCCGAGGACATGAGGGACGCGAAGACGGTGAATCCGTAAAGCATAACGCCAAACAATGTGATGCAGATGATGACATATGCGATTGTCTGTTGCTGAGACCACAAGTTGATGCTGAGGGAGGCGCCGAAAAGGAACAACGAAACCTGCAACAACGCCGGGAATGACTGAACCACGGCATCAAAGTACCACGTCCTTAGTGCTTCCATCTTCTGTTGCCGTCTCCTTCCACGTTCCTCCATGGAACCATGACCGTATCTGTTGGACTTGTAATAGCCTAACCACTGTTTGCCCAGGATGGCACCAAAGGCAGCAAAGAGGCTAAGTAAAAGACTAGCGTAGGCTAGGCTTTGAGCCCAAACATTACTAGACGAGTACCCTGCTGGTTGCGGAAGCGTAATGCTTTGGGGTGCCGAAGTACCATTTGCCGCAAGTAATATGAGTTGGACCAGCAGTGCGTTGGTGGTGTCTCCTGGATTAGGTTGTGACGCAATTATGAAGGAGGTGGTGACAGCTGAGAAGAGACCCGCCTGTGAGATTGCATTTGGATGGTTCGCAAACTGTTCTGAGAAAGGAAACGCACAAAAGTAGGGATGATATCGATATCACCATTGTACCGCTCCAGGAACTCGCTGTCGACCTCCTCTGCTACCACCTCATATGTTTCCCAGAACTGTGATCGGACGTCCTTGTCCGCTTTCTCTAGTTCTGCGCGCTTAAGGACTTCGAGAATTTCGCTCTGCTTTTGGAGAAGACTGCATTGGGAAATATTCAGTTTGCAACGGCTGACGAAGTTCGATGGCTGACTGAGCTACTCACGAGCTAAGGACCTCCGATTGCTTATCGTGCTCCATGACAGACGAGGTGCTCGTTCGGTGATAACCCCGATTGTCATCATTGGCAAGTCTAAAATTTCCACAGTAACCAGGAACGACATATCAGCACTGATTCAGCAGGAAGTATAACTGTCACCTGTGATCATCATGATCATGCAAGAGCGCGACGACAGCATCGATGGCTACTGTTTGGTGGACCACTCAAGAGGAGAAACGACCTCGATTACTTACAGCTGTTACCTGTAGCATCCCAGATCTTCCTCTGTATACTTGAACCTGAAAGCGTGCGGCGGAACTCGGCCACTTTCCGGCCCGTCTGACGCCATATTCGGAGCTCGGAGCTTCCCCACAGTTGTCTCCGGTCCACGATGTCGTTCGTCGCACTCTCCCGCTCAACATTCCGCCATGCAAGCAGCAGCGTTCGTTTCTTCTCTACCAGTTGGCGTGTACAGCGCGAATACGCAAATGTCCTTGTCTCACGGCCCAGCCCAGGCGTGGCGCTCATCACTCTGAACAGACCCAAGGCACTCAATGCACTCAATGCGGCGCACTTTCAAGATATATCTGATGCGATGAAGGAGGCTGATGAGGATGCTAGTGTGGGTGCTATAATCCTCACTGGGTCAGAACGCGCGTTTGCGGGTGTGTTTCTCAGTCAATCGGATCATGAACTCGATTAGACTTGTTTATGCACAGCTGGTGCGGACATCAAGGAAATGAAGGACAAGTCCTGTGAATATCTTTAGGACCTTAGTTATTGAATCCTTTCTGACAAACTTTCCCGAAGTCGCCGAAGCGTACACCGCCAACTTCCTCGCTGATTGGGAAGTTATCACTAAGCTTAAAAAGCCGGTTATTGCAGCCGTCAGCGGTTACGCCGTATGTTCTTGGACTCATTTGTCAATCATTACGTTTTCATTCGAATTCTTGCCTTTAGCTCGGAGGTGGCTTGGAGCTTGCATTGCAGGCTGATATTCTTCTCGCAGCGCCTTCAGCACAACTTGGACAACCAGAGGTCAATCTCGGAGTCATCCCTGGCGGCGGCGGGACCCAACGTCTCGCCCATCTCATCGGCAAATCGCGTGCCATGGAACTCGTCCTCACCGGACGTATAATTGGTGCAGACGAGGCAGAACGCTGGGGCATCGTACGAGTTGTACGCGGGGGCAGTGTCGTTGATGAGGCCGTAAAAGTGGCGAGCGATATTGCAAGCAAGGGACGCATCGCAGTGAATGCAGGCAAGGAGGCTGTGAACGCAGCGTTTGAAATGAGCCTCGCTGAGGGACTGAGATTTGAGAAGCGGTTATTCCATGCCTTGTTTTCAACCAAGGATCAGAAGGAGGGTGGGCATATTTTCGGTGTTGTTTGACTAAACTTTGCACTGATTCCTTTCAATCTTGCTAGGCATGGCTGCTTTTGCTGAGAAACGAAGGGCAGAGTGGACGCACTCGTAAGGGCGTTCTGTATGAGGGAACCCCGGTCGTCAACATCCCTGTGCTTTCCTGTTTTGATTCTATCATCTAGGTTTGATTTTCGACATCAGAGCCTAAGTTTACATCACTAGACTATTACAAACGAGGTTAGGCAATGGTATCTGATTGTTGATTGATCGGCCTTCAGCGCTCAGCCAGATAACGATGTCCGCATCTATCCCAGCGGTTTGTGTCTAGCGGTGTTAGCACTATGACGAATGTGGCACGATTCAAATCAACCTGCGCGACCAGGCAGTGGTCGTCTAATTTTGCAACGGCGGACTCAGCCGAGTGCGATATCTCCAATACCCCAACGTCCATTATGTGAGCAGAAGCCATCCTTTCTTTTCAAATGCTGCTGCGCTATCAAAAACGCTATCCAAGGAACAATCAATCGTAATGTATTAATGAGTGAACGAGTGGGATTCTAACCCAATCTGCTCATGTTAATATATCATTTTATTGCAAAACAGGTTTGACTTCGTCAAGAATAGCCCCTCTTCGTTGGAAATCGAAGGGTGGGGCCTCGATGCGCCCGTCTTCGTCATAAACATCTTCGACAATGGGCACTTTATCTTTCCATTCACCTTCAATATTCATCTCATGGCGGTTGTTCGTTCCTTAGATGTCAGAAGGCAAGATACCGACGTGGGCGAGCTCGAGGGAGATGTCTCTGGTTCTGTCCTCACAGACGTTACCGTGGAGTCTGGCTGTGGCATCAGTCAGCTTCCGGAATGTTGTTCGGTTGGAAATGATCTCAGACGGGATGCTGGTCACAACGTAGCACACAGATAAGTATTATTATCCACTGTACATGATATCGTATTCAAGTTATATCTGAAATTTCCACAATAGAACATTTGCTGGAATACGATCATGTGCAAGTGCCGATTAGTCCTTATCATGCGTGGATCTTGCTGCTGCTCAAGCGAGCCTCACCTTTTTCCCTCAGCGCTTTTGAGTGGAACCAGGACTTGCATACTCTCCTGTTTCTCCTTTCTGTCTCGCCTCAACTTTATTCGCAGTCTCCATATCCCTACTTCCCGTCCAATCCTACCACTCAGCACATCCTTCATCGCGCCAATCACGCAGAACAGTATCAGCGGGTTGGATTGTGTTGCAGAATGCTACAGAGAGCGCTCTGTAGCACTCTGTAATGAATTACGTTTCCCTGATGAGTTGAGAAGGCCAATCTATCAGACTTGAAGGGTGGCTCATCTCCTTAACAGAATGCATGTTCCAGGCAGACGACCGCTTAGGGGGTCGTGGAGGCAGATGAGTGGATTTTTCTTTCGTGACGTGTTCCTAACGTCTGAATTCATAGCCTGTAACCTACTCGTCGAAGATATTCCCTGAGTCCTGATCTGATATTCACCATCGCGGTAGTAATCCATGTTGTTTATTGGTTTATGACTCCCTGTGGAAAACGAGGTGGGCTTCACCCTGGGTAGTGTTAGTTGCCATGATTAGATCATTTAGCTGGCGGACGGTCATAAAACTTATCTGTACAACATTCCAATGGCTATCGCACTTGCCTGTCTGTCTGTGCACGCCCTCGTTGTACGGTCAAACTGTTTATAATGGTGAGAATCACTGTGACCACGTTTCAAAAGACTATGGACTGAGAGCGCATAGCTAACGGATTGCAATCAAACAATACCCTCGATGCGAACTGAGATCCTCGAAATAATAATTCATTGATGGGTCTGTGTAACGTGCGTGGTTTACATTTTATGTAAAATGATCTGGAAAGTGGACAGGCATGGCCATCTATTATCACAGCGGCTTGCTGAGCTCGCTTTGCCCTCACTAGTTGGTCGGTACTACTGTCGAAACGGTTGTTCGGAATCATCTTCACGATGGAGATATTCTGGTCAAAAACAAACATTGAAAGCCCAAGATCTCATTAACGCTCCCAAAAACATTACATTACTTAGTGTTCGTTTTTTGATCTCCCATATCCCTCATCTTCTTGTAAATGGTGTGTAAGCGGGCTTCAGAAGCTGCCGTGGATGATGCGCCATCAAGGCGAAGAATCTTGTTCCACTTCGGCCTCCGGTCAACGAGTTTTTCACCAGGGGGTCGATAGCTCGGGTCGTAGCTTGAGATCTGATGCATAGTACGTTTAACATCGCCACGATGAATTGTGGTACCACTCCAGTATGGACCTGTAATATGACGGTCATGGTACGTAATACAGATCTGCGGCATGAATAACTTACCTGCGGCGGCGATGGCCATGACGGATTGCTTGGTTTTATCTTGAATAAAGAGATGTCCCGCTTGTGATATCAGGTCGATTCTAGCCTCCTGAATATGCGCCCGAATCTCTGCGTCCAGCTCCTTATCCTTCAGACTTCTACTCACAAACCTCTTCACTTCTACGAGAAGGCAAGCACTTGCTGCAGTTATTCTCCACCCTCCATAGCGAAGCTTCTCTTGTGCTTGAGGCACGGCTGTGAGATGGACGATGCCAAAATCCACCAGAACGCTCCCAGCATCCTTTTCCGGGACCGTCGATGCGAAAGACATGTTCCCAACCTCCGAGTCAGGCTCATGGTCTCCTTCTTCGAGTTCTTCTTGGTTGTTAGCAGGGACCTGGGTGCCTGCTGCAACACCCTCTGAGGCTCCCTGGGCTACCCTTTCTTCCACCTCCTCAGGATCATCACCGTCATTCGCACCTTCAAGCTGGTCATTCTGCTTCACAATCCAAACTGGAAATTGAGGCGCCACAATCAAATTCGGCACATCTGCCACAAGATCGAAGAGTATCTGACACCACAGTGGGTACCAATAGAATTCCATGTTACGGGAGTTGAATGTACGAGAGAACGCGTATGACGTCTCCAAGCGAGCCTTTGGCGGCAGTAATTGATTACTAGCACTGGCAGGGGCCATCGCGAATTATGAGTGTGTGGCTGGTGTGTCGAAGTACGGCGACTAATTAGCATGTTAATATACGTCGTGCAGACTTCATTTTTATATCGCTGAGAATGAGTTATTCCGACTAGATGCTATTGTACAGCATTTATGGTAGACAAAACCGATAAATTTTGATGTTTGCTCAGGTGGCTCAACATTTTCCGTATGTTCGGATAGATCATGACGTGGCCAGAAGTTGATCCCAAGAAGAGGAAACAAAGAGATCAAATCCAAAGACAGAAGAGGGCAACAATGAGTAAGCGAACACAATGACGATACACCAGTTGTCACTGGTCCACAGACCGCAGGTCGCACATCTGAGGCTGAAGCACGTGCCTTGTCACATGACACTCCATATAAAAGGGCTACACCTGGTTCAAAGTTGAAATCAAATACTGTTACGGATCCAAGGTGAGAGCATACAGTTGCGTCCGAACTGTCTGTATTCTAATTCATGCATAACAGTCATGGTAAAATACTATGGATATTTGGTGAGCGATAGCTGGCTACACCAACGAGCCCTTGATGTGGGCTATCCGCCCGCCAAGACACCCGAAGACTCGGATGATATCATCAGCCTTGCGTCGATAGATGTCATGGCAGAGACGGGCGTTCTCTCCTACGCCAGAGTTCGTCGAATAAAGACTCCCAAGGGCAAATATTTCTGGTGTATTGCCCTCGCCTGTGACGATCCTATTACTGTTGGAGAACGAATGTCAACCCGCCCGCCGCCGGAGGCAAAATATAAGGCTTTGAAGGAGGCGCTGGGAAAGGATGGACCGCCTCACTGGTATCGAGCTATTTGAAACGAAACGTCGGTGAGCTTTCCGCATCGCCACTTGAAGCAACTAATATTCATTTTTCTTAGAGAAAACTACACAAGTCTCGTCGCATGGTCACGTATATCGCCACATACCATCGAAGTCATCGAATCACAGGATGTAATGATATATGATTACTTCCGTTGCCCGCATATCTACATATTGGTCTAAGGAAGAGCCAGGATGCCGCAGATTCTGTATCAGCTCCGTATCATCGACCGTTGGGAGGTTCTACTGCTATGATCGTCTCATTATTGTGTTGACAAATCCATTTAACAACAGCGGAAATGGACGGTTTTGGGACTCGACGTGTGGTTCTATGATACAGTTTTGATGTGCTTGCCGCTATGAGGGCTGTGAATGAGGTCCCTTTCAATTGCCAGGGAGGTGGAGGACAACTATTAGCCCCAAACCTTGAACGCTCACTTGAAGTCCGATAGCACGACTCGGTATGATCAGGACTACAGCAAGGCCGTCAGGGGAGTACACGATGAGTCTAGGATCTAAGCTTCGACCAAGGATGTGCTAAATAGCTAGCAGGCCGCATCATCATCGTTGTGTATGTCTCACTCGCGCTGATTTAAGACCTTCTCACCCACAATCAGAACGCGACGCCTCCCACCCAAGCACTCTTCTCATTAAGTCCGGACAACAACTTAAGGGCTTGTCTTGATTTACTTTCATTTCCTCAGTCTCGACGCACGCCAGCAAACGATATTGTCCACCGCGACTGCTCCCATCACCACTATACCTTACTCATCATTCACGTTCACTGGGCATTCTCGGACTCCACCTGCCCGCTCACCATGGCGATCACAATGCCCCAGTAATCATTAATGTTAATCATTCTTCGGAAATGATAAAACTGTCAGCCATCACCTCAAACTAGTGTCCGACCTGAGTTGTTCTTATTCAATGTGCTAGTAATATACTCACCCTCAAAGCGCCCGCAACTATTCAGTCCAGGCCCGACGGCCGTGGAGATGATTGATCGGGAGACGATGATGAGGAAACAAAGAAACGCTGGCCCTTTGCACGCGAATATCTTCTTTAGCCCTGAGTATGTAATTGCATGCTAGCACCTGCAGAACACGAACCGCCTCGGGATCCAGCAGCTCAATCTACTGATGACACCCTAGCAAACGGCACATACATAGTTGGTCCATTGGAGAGGCGTACGCTGACGGCCCGGCGTATTCGGATTCTTGCAAGAGTCAGTCTCAAATAGAAGCTGAGTAAAGTCCGAGGAGCGAAGTGCAGAGCGGCTGGGGTAAGTATTGGTGAAACGAGTCTTCTGCCCAGAGAGAGATAATCCATCGATAGTGCCTTCACAACGATGTAGCCTACTAGAACTTGTGCAATGAGTCATTGCTTTTCCACAATCAAGTATGTGAACGCAGTTCACCTTCATTTTATCAGTTGCGAGTGCTGCGCATCACAATATAGGTTCCACCAACTTAGATTTCGCTTTTATATATGCCCTCTAAACGTATATATTCATCCAGCTACAGGAGGTTTGATTGTATGAATCTGCTCGTTGCAAAAAATCTAAAGGATAGTCATTACCTATCGATAAAATAGCAGCTGTCCACGTACATGTTACAATACAAGTGATAGTATAACCTAAATGTCCGACGGACATCGAAACATGTTAGCAGCAGACACAGGACTTCCCGCCTCCATGTTCGCCAGGGTCTATATGTACTGCAACTGCTTGCTGGTGTGGTTGCTGTTGCTGTTGCGTATCAGGGTCCGGTTCAGTAGTATCGAGATATTCATCAGGTACGATGTCCGGGTCTGGGCCAGGAGCACCCGCAGCAGCATTACGCTGTAGATCTACGCATCAGACAACCAAGATACGCTGATAAGAATCGACCTGACCCACTTCTTTAGCCTTCGCGAATGGAACATCAACAACGGGCGGCGTTGCATGATGGGGTGACCGGGTGAATAGGTATCGTAAGTGAGTTTTGGTTGTGGTGGTGACGGCGACTGGTGGGGAGGTGGTGGGTGGTGCAGGTGCAGGAGCTTCCTGAGGGCTTCTCGTCATAGCGAGCCTGAGTCTTTTGAGGCGCCCAGAGCGCTGTTGAAGTCTTGGCCTGGAAATCTGAGAATGCTGTGATGAATTATGAGCGAGAGAACAGAAAGATACGCTCTTGCACCCACTTGATGCATTCCTTGGAAAAAATTGGGTTCTGCATCATAGCCATCTTGTTCTTGCCCGGGGATCTCCGCCTGCATAATGGTTAGTAGCGAAAGAGGTGAGGAACGGGGTACATACACCAAGAATACGGTCGTTGTCCGCAGCGAGCGTGCTGCATTTCTCCTTGAACTCTAAGTGACATGCGGGTGAGCTAGTCGTGGGTGACATGACGGAAGACTTGCCGTTGGACCAATCGAGACAGCTGGCCTTCGCAATGTCGTCGATGGCGTCCATCATGGATTTGTGTGAGTCGAGGGCTTCGTCGAGTTTACCTGCCGAAAGGAAAGTCTGACACCGTTTCTGGTGTGTCGTAAGCAATAAGAACTCGAGATCCCAGCCGAAGAGCTGCACAAAGTACTAGGTTATGGGAAGCATTATTTATGCATCATGTCGACGCACCACGGTCAAGTCTTGGTATACGAAATGAATGTATTTCGATGAGAAAGCGTCTGAGCTAACAGCGGCAGTGAAGTGATCAGCGGCTTCGTCATGATGCGCGCCATCGAAAGCTTTAATTCCGAGTTGAACACGTCGATATGTCTATTGTGTAAGTTGAGATATCAGGATTGATGATCGAGTGTGGCCGCATGACACTCACTTCCACGACACGACGCGCGAGAGGATCGACATTCGGACAAGCGACAGCCAGGTCTTTGATGAGCAGCATTGCTTCCTCGTGTTGATCTGCGTTGAAGAGTGCGACGGCCTGGAATATCGAATGAAGCGGATAGCATAGGAGACGGATTAGATGTACCTGGATCAGGAGAAGAAATTGCTTAGTTTCTGAATTTTGGTTCGTGAACATGGATGCAACGTCGAATGCTACCCTTGCTTCCCGGACGTGACCTTTTCCGCAGAGGGCGATTCCTTTCGAGATAAAGCCTATCAACGATGGCCTAATGTTGATTGACTATATCACGGATGAAAGTTAGCCTTTCGTAAGAGGACAATGATGGGTGAGTCCATCTCACCTTGATTGCATCTTCAAGGGCGTGCTCCAAGTCGTGCTTCCGGGCCATAACGAACGAACGATTGGCATATGAAGTAAAGTCGTTGGCGTTGGCGTGGATCTCTTGGGTGAGGAGCTCTTCGGCAATAGACAAGTCCCCAGTTAGACATGCATCGCGGGCTGTTGTGATGTCAAGGATCTGTACGAAGGATGCTCAAATTGCGTAATGAGAGTCAGAAATGGAAACTCGCCTTTGAATGAGCGTCCTTTGGTACTGCCCATTCTGAGATCTTTTTATCAGAACCTCCGCTGAGGATGTGCTTGCCGTCCACAGAGAACGTGACACATGTCGCGGGAGATGTCGATGAATGCTGGAATACAGCAATGGTTCGTTGATCTGAGAGCCGCCAGAGACGGACATGCTTGTCATCAGATGCAGAAGCAACGAGGGTGCCAGCAGGATGAATGACAATGACGTGAATAGTGTCAGTGTGGCCTTCCCAGCCCTGGCCGACCTGCTGCCAGGTTGATGTGTCCCACTCTCGTACGGTAGGATCCTCTCGATCACCTCCTGAAAGAAGGCGTGTGCCATCGGGCGTCCACACGAGTGACACATTCCATCTGCCAGTGTGACCTGTCACATGTCAAAGATGCGACGCGTTCCCTTGTGCCTGTATTGTAAATTTGGATATTGGAGGTTGTTGCGATGGCAAGAAGTTCACCAGAAGGCGAATATCGAGCGCAGTGGACAAAACTGTCACACTTGATTGGTTCTCCTTGCATTTTCCACGTTTTGGTACTCCAAAACTTGACCGTGTAGTCATATGAATCTGCAGTGGCCAGCACCATTCCATCCGGAGAAAAATCCACCGAGGTGATGGCTTCGGGGTGGGCTTTGATGGGTTGGGTGATGGATTCGCCAGTTTCACCGTGCCAGGCGATGACTTCTCCACCATCATCACTACTTGCTATTATTTGACCATTTCGTGACACCGCCAATGCCTGCACCAAACTGCTATGCCCTTCTTCAACACAACACCTGTCTCCAAGTCCCAAAGACGAAGTGTCTGGTCGTCCGAACCCGTAATCATGCGTCGTTTATCGGGGAACACTGCGACTGCCCTTACGGCGTCCTCGTGATCTTCAAAAGTTCGAAAGGGTGTGGTGCTTGGAATGAGCTGTGACATTTTACTGGAGGTTGAACGTTGATGGTGTTGAGCACGGCCGAGGGATTGTGGGTGTCCTTCTCTAAGTTACAGAAGTGCGTGTATTGTGCGTTTTTATGTTGCTTCACCACGCTAACCATCCTCGCTTCCATAGACGCCCAAGATAAGAGGCAGTTCGCCATCACCGTCTCCTCCCAACCAGTCATAACCGACTGCACTGGTTACATGCGTCCGACATTTGTCTTCACAGTTTCAAGCCCTACCGAGACATCAAGCGAGTATCACACCTCTCCAACAAACTTTCAAGCTCGAGTCTTACGTCTCATGACCGCTTACCTTACGGCTCGCTGTAGACCAGTATAAAGTATCTGGATGTCTATGGTGCGTCTTGAGGATCCCCGTCAGGAAGGGAACATTTCCAGTACTGTGCACCAAGAAGATTAAGCTTTTGTTGCTTTCGCCTGCAGTGAATTCGAGCCCGAGAGTGACCATTATGCGCATCATAAACAACAACTACAAGAGCATTGTAGCCAATGATTTGTAAAGCGCAAGATAGTCTTAAGTCTAGCATCCGATCAGCATCAGTGGTCGTCCGTGCCTGGCCACCCCCGTCAAATTAGTGAAGTGGCTCCGTCATGCCACAACTGTACTCTGCGGCTAGCTAGTGTGGACATCGTGGAACCACGAGTGCCAAAGAAGCCAGCTCCATTCGACTGAATGATGGGCATCGAGGAACACCGGATGCCTGGTAACAGCCACACCGTCAGAATGAAAATATGATATCCGATCGGCTCACCATTTTCCATATATCTCCTCTGTCTGTTCCGCTGCACAATCTACCCACGTTCCACCCCAATGCCCTAATCTCTGACCACCATTCCGAGTCCCTTTCGTCGCTCGTCATGATAACATGTATGACATTAATCCCTTTTCGTGTGCGAAGCTCGGACACCCTGCGCGCAATGACAGACAACGGGACGAAGCACTGATCCACTGGGAACTCCTCGCATTGTTGGCCGAAGTCACCATGCTGTATGTGGATCGATATATACTATCAAAAATTAGATCTGTAGAGTAACATATACCCTAAACTTTCACTCACGGGAGATGTTGGTTCACTTACTGGTGCATTCATGGCGCGCCGGGCATGCGCATCAACAATCTTCCATGCTTGCAGTCCATCGCATGTGTCAGCCTACACATTTCCATGCAGGAATATAGTCTAATCCCCATTCCCATGTATGATGAGCACCTATGTAGTAAAGGAAATCATAGCATAATACGTGATCGTCCGGGGGAAGGGAAACCTGGTGTTGAGAAGGACGATTTGTCAATGATAACTCCAGGCTTTTCGAACGAGTCTCTGGAAACCCGAGTGATGCGAGAGACCAAAAGGATGCATGATTGTGACGTATGCTAGGAGGTGTTATCTCGACCTAAGCTGGGGTTCGCGTCCACGAAATATCTGTGATGGCCATGCATTCAATCACCGAAGAGGGATGTTCGAAGTCGTCTCACCGAGCTTGAGCAGGTTCAGGGAGGGACTTCGTCGTGGTTCAGGAATCCCGATGTGCTGTTGAACGGTTTCCCAGACAGTCCAACAACCAAGATTATCGAGAACCTGACTTTCTGGATGCTCGACTTCGTGCCATTGAAGTGAATCCCTATGGCTTGACTGAGTCGAGGGACGTCAAACACGTCCTCGAGAACAAATGGAGGTGCCCTTGGGTTGATATGAGTCGAGAGGAACTTTGGGATTATGGGTGCACGTTCTGTTGTGAGAGCGAGGCATATCAAATTGCCCTAGTTAGTTGAAGATAGCAGATTGCGCAGGAGTACACTGTATGTCCAGTCTATAGCCTGAGGGCTTGAGCAGGAGATTTCCAAAGCCGAACAACTTAAAGACAGCCATCAGAGCTGCGCATGTCGTCCTGAGAGACGGCTTTTTCCCTTTGGAACTCGTCCTAACCGGACGTATAATTGGTGCAGATGAGGCAGAACGCTGGGGCATCGTATGGGTTGTACGCGAGGGCAGTGTCGCTGATGAGGCCGTAAAGGTGGCGAGCGGTATTGCAAGCAAGAGACCCATCGCAGTGAATGCAGGCGAGGATGCCGTGAATGTGGCGGTTTGAAATGAGCCTCGCTGAGAGACTGAGATTTGAGAAGGTTTCCACCCAGGAGCGGGCATATTCTCTGTGTTGTCTGACTAAGCTTTGCACTGATTCCTTTCAGTACGAGAGTGGACGCACTCATAATATGCTAGATCGTGAAAATGACACAAGGGAGCACAAGGGGAACCGCCCCCGCATATGAAAAATCTGCTATTTTTCTCATCATGTGCTGGATTGTGCTGTGTCTATCCCAGCGGTTTGTGTCTAGCGGTGCTAGCATTATGACGAATGTGGCACGATTCAATTCAAATCAACCCACGCGACAAGGCCCGGCGGCGGACTCAGTCGACTGCGATAACTCCAATACCCTAACCCCCATTATGTGAGCAGAAGCCATCCCTTCCATTAATCATATGCTGCTGCGCTATCAAAAATGCTATCCAAGGAACAATCAGTCGTAATGAGTGAACGAGTGGGACTCGAACCCAATCTGTTCATGTTAATATACTTTTATTGCAGAACAGGTTTGACTTCATCCGAAAGAATACCAGCTCTTCGTTGGAAATCGAAGGGTGGGGCCTCGATGCGCCTGTCTTCGTCTTAAACCTCTTCGACAATGGGGACTTTATCTTTATCTTTTCATTCACCTCCAATATTCATCTCATGGCGATTGTTCGTTCCTTAGATGTCAGAAAGTCAGATACAGATGTGGGCGAGCTCGAGGAGATATATCTAGTTCTGTCTTCAGAGTGAAAAGTCACAGATGCTTATCGTGGAGTCGGGCTGTGGCATCAGTCAGCTTCTCGGAATGTCGTTCGGTCGGACATGATCTCAGACGGATGCTGGTCACAACGTAGAACACAGATAAGTATTATCCACTGTACATGATATCGCAATCAAGTTATACCTGAAATCTCCACAATAGAACATTTGCTGGAATACGATCATGGTCTGCAAGTATCGATTAGTAAGTGCGAGGGGAAAGGCTTTGAAGAGACCCACTCCTCTTGGCACTTTCGTCAGTGGTTCGTAACGACTGAATACATAGCCTGCGTCCTACTCGTCGAAAATGTTCCTAGGGAGGTTGCAACAAACGATCATGTCACTGCCTTATCATGGGTGGATCTTGTTGCTGCTCAAGCGAGTCTCACCGTTTGCTCTCAGCGCTTTTGAGTGGAACAAGGACCTGCATACCCTCCTGTTTCTCCTTTCTGTCTTGCCTAAACTTTATTCGCAATCTCCATATCCCTACCTCCCGTCTAATCCTACCACTCAGCACATCCTTCATCGCGCCAATCACGCAGAACAGTTGAGAAGTCCAATCTATCAGACTTGAGGGGTGGCTCATCTTCTCAACAGGATGCATGTTCCAGGCAGACAATCGATTAGGGGGTCGTGGAGGTAACTGGCGGACAGTCATGAAACTTACCTGTACGACGTTCCAATGGCTGTCGTACTTGCCGGTCAGTATGGGCGCACGCTTTTCATTGTACGGTCAAACTGGTTGTGATGGTGAGAAACACCATGATCACGTTTTGAAGACTGTGGACTGCATAGCTAACATGCCTGTTTGCCTTCCTGCTCGAGCATGCAGCCTCTTCATAGATGGACGCTTTGACCTAACCACTCAGGCGGACCTTCGATCGAACGATACCCTTGATGCGAAACGAGATCCTTGACATGATAATTGTGCTGCATCCAAAATATTCACTACGCGGTTCACATTTCGAAATGATCTGGGAAATGGAGAGGCACGTCCATCCACTGTCACAACGACTTACTGAGCTCGCTTTTCCTCCACTAGTTGGTCCGTATTACTGTCGTTTGGAATAAATGAGTATCATCTTCGCGAATCACAACGGAGAAGTTCTAGTCAAAAAATAATAATTCAAAGCCCAAGTTCACAACAACGCTCCCCACTGCCCAGTAAACATCACGTTAATTGGCGTTCGTTTTTTGATCTCTCATTTCCCTCATCTTCTTGCAAATGGTACGTAAGCGGGCTTCCGAAGCTGCTGTGGATGATGTGCCATCAAGGCGAAGAATCTTGTTCCACTTCGGCGGCTTATCAGAGAGTTGTTCGCCAGGAGGTCGATAGCTCGGATCATCGCTTGACAGAGAATCCATAATGGCTTCGACGTTATCGCGATGAATTGTGGCACCGCTCCAATAAGGACCTACAATATGATGATGATGCAAGGTCAAGGTATGTAATTCAGATATATGGTGTGGATTACTTACCTGCTGCGGCGATGGCCATGACAGAATCTTTGGTTTCATCTTGGAGAAAAATATATCCTGCTTGTACCATCAAATCGGACCTAGCCTCCTGAATATACCCCTTAATCTCCGCATCCAGCTCGTTCTTTTTCAGACTCCTGCTCGCAAATCTTTTCACTTCCACGAGAAGGCAAGTGTTTGCTGCTGTTATCCGCCACCCTCCATAACGAAGCCTTTCCTCTGACCGAGGCACTGCTGTCAGACTAACAACCGCAAAATCCACCAGAACGCTCCTAGCATCCTTTTCCGGGACGGTTGGTGCAAAAGAAATGTCCCCGACCTCCGAGTCAGGCTCATGGTCTCCGACATCTTCTTTGATGTCATCACCTGGGACTTGCATACCGCATGCAACAGCCTGATCTCCCTCGAGCGTCCTTTTGATCTCCTCTACCTCTGCAGGATCGTCACCATCATCTGCACCTTCGAGTCGGTCGTTGTGCTCTACGATCCAAACTGGAAATTGAGGCGCTATGATCAAATTTGGCTCATCTGCCACAAGATTGAAGAGTGTCTGGCACCACAGTGGGTACCAATAAAACTCCATATTGCGGGAATTGAATGTGCGAGAGAATGCATAGGACGTCTCCAAGCGAGTTTTGCACGGCAATGATTGATCAGGGGCCATTGTGAATGGGTGGTGGTATGAGATGCGGCGAATGACAGCGACCAATACGAATTAATATACGTCGTATGGACTCCAATGTCTTGCGGAAAATTTTACTTCATTGTGCAGTATTTACAGTGAACAATAAATTTTGACCTTGCTCAAGTTTCTCATCATTCTCGCGGTTCGGACAAATCATGACGTGGCAAGTAATCCCAAGAGAGGAAACAAAAAGATTGGTCCTTTCAACGTTGAACTAGATGGATAAAAGAGGAACACAATACGCTGCACGGTGATTATGCATCAGTTCAATCCAGTCAATTTGCAATGACTGGGCCACAGTCTCCCATATGGAGGCACGTGCCTTGTCACGTGACACTTAATATAAAAGGGCTGCCACACCGTTGGGTCGAAAACAAACATCATCATAGACCCAAGGTCAGAGCGTGTACTTGCATCAGAACTGTCTGTATTCTATATTCTAACGCTTCTTCAATCACAGTCATGGTAAAATACTTCGGATATCTGATAACTGAGGGCTGGTTGCACCAAAAAGCCCTTGATCTGGGCTATCCGCCCGCTCAGACACCAGAAGACTCGCATAATCTCCTTTGCATGGTTCCCTTGAATGTTATGGCAGCGGCGGGCGTTCTCTCCTACGCCAGAGTCCGTCGAATAAAAACTCCCAAGGGCAAACATTTCTGGTGCATTGCCCTCGCCTGTGACGATCCTATTACTGTTGGAGAACGGATGTCAACCCACGCGCCGCCAGAGGCAAATTATAAGGCTTTGAAGGAGGCGATGGGGAAGGATGGCCCGGCTCACTGGTATCGAGCTAGATGAAATGAAGTGTCAGTGAGCTTTCCGCATCGCCACTTGAAGCAACTAATGTTCATTTTTCTTAGAGAAAAATACACAAGTCTTGTCACATTGTCACGTATATCGCCACATACCATCGAAGTCATCGAATCACAAGATGTAATGATATATGATTACTTCCGTTGCCCGCATATTTACATACTGGTCTAAGGAAGAGCCAGGATGCCGCAGATTTTGTATCAGCTCCGTATCATCAACCGTTGGGAGGTTCTACTGCTATGATCGTCTCATATTATTGTGTTAACAAATCCATTTAACAACAGCGGAAATGGACGGTTTTTGGACTCGACGTGTGGTTCTATGATACAGTTTTGATGTGCTTGCCGCTATGAGGGCTGTGAATGAGGTCCCTTTTAATTGCCAGGGAGGTGGAGGACAACTATTAGCCCCAAACCTTGAACGTTCACTTGAAGTCCGATAGCACGACTCGGTATGATCAGGACTACAGCAAGGCCGTCAGGGGAGTACATGATGAGTCTAGTATCTAAGCTTTGACCAAGGATGTGCTAAATAGCTACCAGGCCGCATCATCATCGTTGTGTATGTCTCACTCGCGCTAATCTAAGACCTTCTCACCCACAATCAGAACGCGACGCCTCCCACCCAAGCACTCTTCTCATTAAGTCCAGACAACAACTCAAGGGCTTGTCTTGACTTACTTTCATTTCCTCAGTCTCGACGCACGCCAGAAAACGATATTATCCACCGCGACTGCTCCCATCACCACTATACCTTACTCATCATTCACGTTCACTGGGCATTCTCGGACTCCACCTGCCCGCTCACCATAGCGATCACAATGCCCCAGTAATCATTAATCATTCTTCGGAAATGATAAAATTGTCAGCTATCATTTCAAACTAGTGTTCGACGTGAATTGTTCTCATTCAATGTGCTAGTAATACACTCACCCTCAAAGCGCCCGCAACTATGATATCCATTCAGTCCAGGCCCGAGGGCCGTGCAGATGATTGATCGGGAGACGATGATGAGGAGACAAAGAAACGCTGGTCCTTTGAACGCGCGTCTCTTCTTCAGCCCTCGAGCGCCATCTCCTGAGTATGTGATTGCATGCTACTAGCACCTGCAGAACACGAACCCCCTGGGGATCCAGCACCTCAATCTACTGATGACACCCTAACAAACGACACATGCATAGTTGGTCCATTGGAGAGGCGTACGCTGGCGGCCCGGTGTATTCGGATTCTTGCAAGAGTCAAAGTCTCAAATAGAAGCTGGGAGTAAAGTCTGAGAAGCGAAGTGCAGGGCGGTTGGGGGTAAGTATTGGTGAAAGAGTCTTCTGTTCAGAGAGATAATCCATCGATAGTGCCTTCACGACGATGTGGCCTACTGGAACTTGTGCAATGAGCCATTGCTTTTCCACAATCAAGTATGTGAACGCAGTTCACTTTCATTTTTATCAGTTGCGAGTGCTGCGCATCAAAATATAGGTTCCGCCAACTTAGATTTCGCTTTTATATATGCCCTCCAAACGTATATATTCATCCAGCTACAGGAGGTTTGATTGTATGAATCTGCTCGTTGCAAAAAATCTCAAGGATAGTCATTACCTATCGATAAAATAACAGCTGTCCACGTACATGTTACAATACAAGTGATAGTAGAACCAAAATGTCCGAGGGACATCGAAACGTGCTAACAGCAGACACAGGACTTCCCACCTCCATGTTCGCCAGGGTCCATATGTACTGCTACTGCTCGCTGGAGTGGTTGCTGTTGTTGTTGCGTATCAAGGTCCGGTTCAGTAGTGTCGAGATATTCATCAGGTACGATGTCCGGGTCTTGGCCAGGAGCACCCGCAGCAGCATTACGCTGTAGATATACGCATCAGACAACCAAGATACGCTGATAAGAATCGACCTGACCCACCTCTTTAGCCTTCGCGAATGGAACATCGACAACGGGCGGCGTTGCATGATGGGGTGACTGGGTGAATAGGTGTCGTAGGTGAGTTTTGAGAGTGGTAGTGACGGCGACTGGTGGTGAGGTGGTGGGTGGTGCAGGTGCAGGAGCTTCCTGAGGCCTCCTCGTCAGAGCGAGCCTGAGTCTTTTGAGGCGCCCAGGGCGCTGTTGAAGTCTTGGCCTGGAAATCTGAGAATGCTGTGATGAATTATGAGCGAGAGAACAAAAAGATGCGCTCTTGCACGCACTTGATGCATCCCTTGGAAGAAATTCGGTTCTGCATCATAGCCATCTTGTTCTTGTCCCGGGATCTCCGCCTGCATAATGATCAGTAGCGAAAGAGCTGAGAAAAAAGGTACATACGCCAAGAATACGGTCGTTATCCGCAGCGAGCGTGCTACATTTCTCCTTGAACTCTGAGTGACAGGCGGGTGAGCATGATAGTCATGAGTGACATGACGGAAGACTTGCCGTTGGACCAACCGAGACAGCTGGCCTTCGCAATGTCGTCGATGGCATCCATCATGTATTTGTGTGCTTCGAGGGCTTCGTCGAGTTTACCTGCCGAAAGGAAAGCCTGGCACCGTTTCTGGTGTGTAGTGAGCAACAAGGACTCGAGATCCCAGCCGAAGAGCTGCACAAAGTACTAGGTTATGAAAAGCATTATGTTTGCATCATGTCGACGCACCACGGTCAAGTCCGGGTATACAAGATGAATGTATTTCAATGAGAAAGCGTCTGAGTTAACAGCGGCAGTGAAGTGATCAGCGGCTTCGTCGTGATGCGCGCTATCGAAAGCTTTGATCCCGAGTTGAACACGTAGATATGTCTATTGTGCCAGTTGCCAAGATCAGGGGGGGATGACCGAGTGTGGCCACATGACACTTACTTCCACGACACGACGCGGGAGAGGATCGACATTCGGACAAGCGGCAGCCAGGTCTTCGATCAGCAGCATTGCTTCCTCGTGTTGATCTGCGTTGAAGAGTGCGATGGCCTGGAATACTAGATGAGGCAGAGAGCATGGGAGACGATTTAAATGTACCTTGATCAAGAGAAGAAATTGCTTGGTTTCTGAATTTTGGTTCGTGAACATCGATGCAACGTCGAATGCTACCCTTGCTTCCCGGACGCGACCTTTTCCACAGAGGGTGATGCCTTTGGAGATAAAGCCAATCAATGATGGCTGAATGTCGATTGACTAAGTCACGGGTGAAAGTTAGCCTTTCGTAAGAGGACAATGATGGGTTGGTCCATCTCACCTTGATTGCATCCTCAAGGGCGCTGTCCAAGTCGTGCTTCCGGGCCATAACAAATGAACGATTGGCATACGAAGTAAAGTCGTCGGCTTTGGTGTGAATCTCTTGAGTGAGGAGATCTTCAGCGATAGACAAATCCCCAGTTAGACATGCATCGCAGGCTGTTGTGATATCAAGGATCTGCATGAAGGATGCTCTAATTGCGTAATGAGAGTCAGAAATGGAAACTCACCTTTGAATGCTCTACTGCCCATTCTGAGATCTTATTGTCTTCACCTCCGCTGAGGATGTACTTGCCGTCCACAGAGAATGTGACACATGTCAGGATGGATGAATGCTGGAAGATGGCAATGGTTCGTTGATCTAAGAGTCGCCAGAGACGGACATGCTTGTCTTTAGATGCAGAAGCGACGAGGGTCCCAGCGGGATGAATGGCAATGGCGTAGATATCGCGAGTGTGACCTTCCCAAGGATGACTGACCTGCTGCCAGGTTGATGTGTCCCACTCCCATATGTCATTGTTGCATCCTGAGAGAAGGCGTGTGCCATCGGGCGTCCACGCGAGTGACATGTTCATGTTCCATGATGTAGTTGTCAAATATGCGACACGTTCCTTTGTGCCTGGATTATAAATTTGGATATTGTCTCTTGTTGCGATGGCAAGAAGTTCACCAGAAGGCGAATATCGAACGCAGTTGACAAAACTGCCACACTCGATTGGTTCTCCTTGCATCTGCCAAGTTTTGGTACACGAAAACTTCACCGTGTGGTCATTTGAACCAGTGGTCAGCACCGTACCATCCGGGGAAAAATCCAAAGAATAGATTCCATTAGAGTGGGTTATGATGGGTTGGGTGATGGATTCGCCAGTTTCACCGTGCCAGGCGATGACCTCTCCCTTTGTATCACCACTTGCTATCATTTGACCATCTCGCGATATCGTCAATGCCAGCACCGCACCCCTATGCCCTTCCATCTTCTTCAACACAACACCTCTCTCCAAGTCCCAAAGACGAAGTGTCTTGTCGTATGAACCCGTAATCATTCGTCGTTTATCAGGGAACACTACATCTGCGATTATGCGCCCCTCATGATCTTCAAAAGTTCGAATGGGTGTGGTGCTTGGAATGATCTGTGACATTTTACTGGACCTTGATGGTGTTGAGCACGGCCGAGGGATTGTGGGTGTCTTTCTTCAAGTTACAGAGGTGCGTGTATTGTGCGTTTTTATGTTACTTCACCACGCGCTAACCTTCTTCGTCTCCATAGACGCCCAAGACACCAGGCAGTTCGCCATCACCGTTTCAGCAAGAATGCTCCCAACCAGTAATAACCGACTGCACTGGCTACATACGTCCAATATTTGCCAAGCCTTACCGAGATATCAAGCGAGTATCACACCCCTCCAACAAACTTTCAGGCTCAAGTCTTATGTACGTCTCATGGCCGCTCACCTTACGGCTCACTGTAGACGAGTACAAAGTATCTGCATGTCTATGGTGCGTCTTGATTGTTGAACGTTGATCCCCGTCAGGAAGAGAACATTTCCAGTACTGTGCACCAAGAAGATTAAGTTTTTGTTGCTTTCGCCTGTGAATTGTGCCCGAGAGCGACCATCATGGGCATTATAAATAGAAAATACAAGAACATTGTAGCCAATGATGCGTGGGTAGCTGTGCACTACCGCACACCAACGCATCCTTCTTACCAAGCATACCTGCAGCACTGTCCATAGCGTGCATTATTCTCAGCAATTCATGGACCTCTGCAGTCTTGCCTGGCACTTGGTCTTCACCGCCAGATGGCATCAACCTTACTACCTGCCTGTCATATCATTCACAGTCAACAACATCGCTGCGAGCTGCCTGAAAGACACGGCTACCAACTTGAAGAACAACCAAGGATTCGCCATGAACATCATCAGCGAGGCATTCATCGAGAATGTAAATGCGACTGCCGTAGACGCTCCTCCCGAGTTCGACGAGTGGGCTCTCAGCGATCTGACAAAGGAGAAATGCGTACGTGTTACCTAACAGGTGCCTGTCAAGAGTGACGGGTCATTGTAAAGTGGGTGGTCTAGAATCTACACAGTCTGAATGACGTTGTCTCGTACAATATGCACGGTATATGACTAGGACTCACTGCTGCCGCACCCACTACCGCATCCAGCAACGCGACCAATACGTCCTCTAAATTTAGCCTCTCAAAAGCATGTCTGAGAGGCGCATAGTTGATTAGTTCGACGAGTAACACTGCTAGGTCAAGATGACGAGGACGGACAAAGGGTTGCCAGAAATGATAAGGAAGCGACGGGACTTGGAGCATAATTTGTACCCAGGCTGCTACCTAGTATGTGCGAAAACCACATCTAACATGCGTGTGTGATACGTATGCTGTAGCTGTATGGTATCACCCTTAAAGTAGTGCAAAAACTTTGAAATAAAAACATACGACTACAATATCTCTATGGTCCTGATGTCCATCGAGTCTGCAACAGAAACCACGTCTTGGACTTGTCCAATGATATCATAATCCGTCGCGATCCTCTTGTATTCTCCACTGCGCTGTTGCGCTAGCAAAAATGCGCTGAAAGGCTGCCCAAGGCGAACAAGCAACCGCAATGCTCGTGATTCTAGGTCAGACATCCCCTGTTTTACAGGAGAACCACCAGACCAGTCGTCTGACGGAGAAGAAGGCGGCGTCTCATAGTCCTCCTCGCTTTCCGTATCATCTCCATGGTCAGACGGTTCTGGAAATTCTGGAAAGTCAGGTAGCTCCAAAAGAGACCGATCCCAGGGACGGACGAGGAGAAAATTTTGTTCAGTGGGCCTTGCCGGCCAGAATTGAACCAGGGTCTCTCCGGTGGTGATAAGCAAGTCGTGAAGTCCGTCTGCCTTTACTCCATACGCGAAATGAGTTTCCGGGGTTGGATTGCCCACCCGGCGTCTGACTTCCGTGACATTGAATGCAATACAAGGCAGATGCAGTCTTTGTGCTGCGAAGCGAGGGGCGCTCGTGTTCTGAAGCCGAGTATAAAGGTTTGAAGCGAAATCAGCAACCCCCATTATTCGCAGCGAAGAAACTGATGACTGAATTTCATCTTCGGGTAGGGGTGGTAGCTGGCATGGTGGAGCTTCGTATGAAGTGATGGAGGCTGGTAGACAGCTGTTGAACTCTGATGATCTTCCGACCCAATCGAGGCCAGTGATATCCCCCGACCGAGCCACAATCTCCTGTAGGAGCCGCCCGAGAGCCTTATCCTGCTTCTCGCCATAATCTACAGGCAGACGGACGCCAAAGATGCCAAATAAAGAGTATGCGATGTCTTCCTGGCGTGTGGTGATGCGGGTCGACGCCCAATGGAGTTTTTCTCGGGCGCTATTCATACTAGGACGAAAGGCTGCAACGGCTGGTCGGCCTATTCCCGTTGCGTCCTTTATCTCCTGCATGATTTCGACGGAATCCTTGTGGTTTGGAGTATGATCATTACGATAAAGAGTCCAATTGTTCTGATAGAAGAGAATGACTTTGGGAGCGATGAATTCCTGAAACGTCCATCCGCGCGTGTTCCAAGCGCTCTTTGTCAGCCCGCCAGACTTTGACGAAGGCGGAACATCAGACAGGTAGACAATCGTGAGCGCGGAATGATGATACCATACGAACATGGAGTTGACCGATTCTTGGACTTCGACATTGTTGCTCTTGTCGATGCAGCACGTATCGCTCCATGCCCAGTTATACCCCGCATCACGAGCAGTTCTGCAGAACGACCGCAGCTTCGTAATGCCGCCAATCGAATCCAACTCCGAGTCGTACACGCACTTGCCCTGGATATCCTGCAGCAGCGGCTCCCTCCCTTCCCACCTGTGTGATAGCATGGCATATTGTAGGTATCTCTTCACGACTTCTTCGATGTGCTCGATGTGCAAGTCTGCATGCGTGATTGTTGATGACACAAGCTCCTTATACAGCATGCTCATTTTGAAGGTGTCTATCTGCGTCTCTCGATCGCATAAGAGACCTGTGGTGGTGTCGAGTACACGCAGCGGAGCGTTGTCGAGTTGGGCATCGATGACCCGTCTAACGGCGCGTTCTACTTCAGAAGGTCTGAGATACTGCTGGCGCAACTCTGGAGGAAGAGTTGAACATGTTGACGAATGTGTTATCAGAAACTTACTTCGTGTCTGAACATCAGGTACATTGTCCAATATCGAGAGCATCGTTTGGAAGGTCTCAATCGCTTCATCATAGCGCTGCGCACCATGAAGCGCTGCGTGCTTCAAGTTGTGTCCAAGATAAGACAAAGAGTCCAGTTCAATGAGCTATGTATCACCAAGATGAGCATTGGTTATGGGACAATAGTTCCCATCGCACCTTCTGTGCATCGAGAAGTGCTTCCGTCCATAGCATTTTGCCCAATTTTGCCTTGCTACGATTTGCAAAGACAACATCAGATGCAGAGTTCAAGTTTATTATCGCCGAGTATAGGTGGATAGCCTTGTCATAATCGTTCGTAGCGAGGGCAGAATCTCCGTTGGCAGTACATAGCACGCTGCATTGTTGCTTGAATTCTGAGTCAAAAATGCAGGTGAGTATGATGGCCTCGGGTGACATCACTAAAACTCGCCATTGGACCAATCGAGGCAGCTGGCCTTCACAGTCTCGTCGATGGCATCCATCATGTATTTGTGTGCTTCGAGGGCTTCATCGGGTTTACCTGCTGAAAGAAAAGCCTGGCACCGTTTCTGGTGTGTCGTAAGCAACAAGGACTCGAGATCCCAGCCGAAGAGCTACAAAAAGGATTAGGTTATGAAGAGGGTTGGGTATGCATCATCTTGACGAACCATGACCAAGTCCTCGTATATCAAATGAATATATTTCGATGAGAAAGCAGTGGAGTTGACAGCGACAGTGAAGTGATCAATAGCTTCGTCGTGACGCGCATCATCCAAGGCTTTGATCCCGAGCTGAACATGTAGATATATCTATTGTGCGAGTTGAAAAGATCAGGATTGATGACCGAGTGTGACCGCATGTTACTCACTTCTACGACACGACGCGGGAGAGGATCAACATTCGGACAAGCGGCAGCCAGGTCTTGGATGAGTAGCATTGCTTCCTCATGTTGATCTGCGTTGAAGAGTGCGATGGCCTGGAATACTAGATGAAGCGGATAGCATGCGAGATGAATGAAATATACCTTGATCAAGAGAAGAAATTGGTTGATTTCTGAATCTTGGTTCGTGAACATCGATGCAACGTCGAATGCCACCCTTGCTTCCCGGACGTGACCTTTTCCGCAGAGGGCAATACCTTTCGAGATGAAGCCTATCAATGACGGCCGAATGTTGATTGACTATGTCAAGGATGAAAGTTGGCCTTTCGTAAGAGAATAATGATGGGTGGGTCCATCTCACCGTGATTGCATCCTCAAGGGCGTGGTCCAAGTCGTGCTTCCGGGCCATGACGAACGAACGATTGGCATATGAAGTAAAATCGTCAGCGTTGGTGTGAATATCTTGGGTGAGGAGCTCTTCAGCGATAGACAAGTCCCCAGTTAGACATGCATCGCAGGCTGTTGTAATAGCAATGATCTGTATGAAGGATGCTCGAAGCGTGCAATCAGTCAGAAATGAAAACTCGCCTTTGAATGAGCGTCCTTTGGTACTGTCCACTCTAAAATTTTCCGATCCAAGAGACCTCCACTGAGGATGTGCTTGCCATCCATAGAGAACGTGACACATTTCGCGTAGGAATGCTGGAAGATGGCGACGGTTCGTTGATCCAAGAGCCGCCAGATACGGACATGCTCATCATTAGATGCAGAAGCGACGAGGGTGCCAGTGGGATGAATGGCAATGGCTTTGATCTCGTTAGTGTGGCCTTTCCATGGACTACCGACCTGCTGCCAGGTTGATGTGTCCCACTCCAATATGTCATTCCTATTTCCTACAAGAAGGCGTGTGCCATCAGGCGTCCACCATGCTTCGTGACCTGCCAAATATGCGACACGTTCTTTTGTGTCTGGATTATAAATGTGGATATGGTCGTCGACGGTTGTTGCGATGGCAAGAAGTTCACCAGAAGGCGAATATCGAACGCACTCGACAAAAGTGCCCCACTCGATTGGATCTCCTTGCATCTGCCACGTTTTCGTACTCCAAAACTTCACCGTGCCGCAGTCATATGAACCACCCGCAGTGGCCAGCACTGTACCATCCGGACAAAAATCCACCGATTTGACAACGTTGAAGTGGGCTTTGATGGGTTGGGTGATGGATTCGCCAGTTTCACCGTGCCAGGCGATGACTTGTCCATTTCTATCACCACTTACTATCATTTTACCATCTCGCGATATCGCCAATGCCCACACCTCCCTGCTATGGCCTTCCATCTTCTTCAACACAACACCTGTCTCCAAGTCCCAAAGACGAAGTGTCTTGTCGTCCGAACCCGTACTAATCATTCGTCGTTTGTCAGGGAACACTGCAACTACGGTTATGTGCCCCTTATGATCTTCAAAAGTTCGAATGGGTATGGTGTTTGGAGTGAGCTGTGACATTTTACTGGAGGTTGATGGTGTTGAGCACGACAGAGGGCATATTGTGGGTGTCTTTCTCTAAGTTACAGAAGTGCGTGTGCATTTGAATGTTGCTTCATCACGCTAACCTTCCTCGTTTCGGTAGACGCCCAAGACACGAGGCAGTTCGCCATCACCATTGCAACAAGATTGATCCCACCCAATCATAACCGACTGCACTGGCTACATGCGTCCGACATTTGTCTTCACAGTTACAAGCCCTACCGAGACATCAAGCGAGTATCACACCTCCAACAAACTTTCAAGCTCAAGTCTTACGTCTCATGACCGCTCACCTTATGGCTCACTGTAGACTAGTATACAGTGTCTGCATGTCTATGGTGCGTCTTAATTGTTGATCCCCGTCAGGACGGGAACGTTCCCAGTATTATCCATTAAGATAAAGCTTTTGTTGCTTTCGCCTGTGAATTCGAGCCCGAGAGCGACCATGATGTGCATCATACAAAAACATGCCAATGATTTGTAAAGCGCAAAGTTCTAGCATTCCGATCAGCATCAGTGGTCGTTCGCGCCCGGCCACCCCCATCTAATGAGCCGAGTCACGACCGTACTTCGCGGCTAGCTAGTCTGGACGAAGTAGAACCACGAGTGCCAACGAAGCCAGCTCCATTCAACTGAATGATAACATCAATGAACACCGGATGCCTGGGAACAGCCACAAATTCTAGCGTCAGAATGAAAATATGACATCTAATCGGCTCACCATTTTCCATAGATCTCCTCTGTCCGCTCCGCTGCATAGTCCACCCCAACGCCCTAACATCTGACCACCATTCCGGGTCCCTTTCGTCGCTCGTCATGATAACATGTGTAGCATCAATCCCTTTTCGTGTGCGAAGCTCTTCTTGCGCCTCAGACACCCTGCGCACAATGACAGACAACGGGGTGAAGCACTGGTTTACAGGGAAATCTTCGCATTACTGGCTGAAGTCACCGTGCCGCATATGGATGGATATATACTGCCAAAAGTTAGATCTGTAGAGCAAGCTTTGCCCGAAACTTTGACTCATGGGAGGTGTTGGTCCAGTTACTTGTACATTCATGGCGCGTCGGGTATGCCAATCGGCAATTTTTTCCATGCTTGCAGTCCATCGCATGTGTTGCCCTACAAATCTCCATGCAGGAGAATAGTCTAACTCCCATTCCTTTGTATGATGCGCGCTTATGTAGTAAAGGAATCGAAGCATAATACGTGATCGTCCGGGGGAAAGGAAACCTGGTGCTGAGGAGAAGAACGATTCGTGAATGATAATTCCAGGCTTTTCGAGCGAGCCTCTGGAAATCCAAGTGATGCGAGGGACTAAAATGATGCATGATTGTGGACCGTCTCTCCTGTCTGTAAGAAAACTTGAGAATCTGGAGTGTTTTCATTACTCGTGGTGAAATTCTGCTTCGACGGGGTGTGCATGTTTCTTTACTTGATGAAAATAGACGTTCGCGCGGCACAGAGGATGCCTGAGCTGGCAGGACATCCATAGCAATGCAGAAAAGTGGTGAATAGACTTTTTCCATGCGCTGAAATTGACTTTAGCGCCTTCCTTGTGTGCGTGAAGGAAAAGTCGAGCTCACCTTCCAGAAACGAACGAGATCAGCCACACGCTCTCCCGCATTGAACGTGACTGGTTCACGCTCACAACGCTCAAGCTCACGCAGAACATCTTTTCGGTCCTCTTCGAGTGCCTTAGCACGCTGTGCAGTGGGTTCTTCTATCGAAGGCTGGTTTTGGATTGTGCGGGTGGGTGTCCTTGAGGTCATGTGCGCGCGTGTGACTGATGATGTCGATGCTGAGCGTCGAATTGTGACGTTGATGCTTGACAGGCGAGAAACTGCGTGAGCTGCACGGGAGACGGCGCTAGTAGCAGCGCATGTTGTTGCTCAGATGCCGAAGGGATGGCAGAGGCTGCAGAACTGTTCCACTGGTGAAACTCATGTTTTGTGAATATAATACTAAACTCACAGTACGATGCACGACTTTATACGATGACCTAGACACCCATCGCCTAATCGCGCTTGAAGATTGCTCAACATTTGTATCGTACAGCGTTGCAGGCGCCTGTCCTCCGGCGCTAAAGCAGTACTGCAGTCCGATGAGAATACGTATAATTATGTTAGACCAAAAGGTTTGAGGATGGGCAACGGAGGAGCAGAGTACATTGAGGAAATGCTAAATAGTAAAGATGAGGTTGGAGTACTACTCTAACGAATCACCAAGTCACAGGTTGGTCACAGGCCAGATTTAGTATTTCATCGTTCCTAATTCGATGCTTATTACGAGGCGTAAACAAATCGAACTAGTACTCATTTTTTCTATATGGCGTCGTTATTGGCTCTGCGCCAGTTTCGCGGTCCTGGAAGCTCAACCTCCTCGCAGTTCCACACGTCCATCGTGTCGTCTCAATTCCGTACGAAATCCAAAAAACCGAATGGCAAGCCAGGTAAGTGTTGATACATCTAACTCCAATTCTCCTGCATAACACGCCCACCAACTTTTTTCCTAGCCTCTGCACGCACCCGTCTTGCGAAGTCGCTGCAGCCAGCCGGAAAAGCCAAAAGGCTCGGCAAGCTCGAGGTAGCACCGTCGCGTCCGGAATTCAAGCGCGATGCTGTCCCGCATGAAGGCCTCGCGCCGCAACAACGAGCGAGCCCACTTGTGCGGAGGACGACGGAATCAAGATTCATCCCAAAGCGCCCGGCACCAAATGACGATGCGGATGCTCAAACTGAGGTCAAGAATTGGGCTATCAAAGCCCACTCTGAACGTGTAGACAGGCGCAAGGTTGCAGCACGTCAACCCCCCGGCGCTCAAGTCAATCCATTAGAAGAGGAGTTCGATCTGTCTGTACCGGCTACTTCCTCCAGCAAAGACCTTCCCACTCGATTCTCCTCTCCGCCCTTGATGCCTGGGTTGTTGCAAAGCTTACAAGAAACACTAGGAAATGATGCAACACCAACCGCTATTCAAGCATTGTCGATGAAGAATTTATTCAGGGATCGTGTGGAGGGCGAGAGGTACAAGGAGTTCCTGCTTGCTAGCGAGACGGGGTCAGGGAAGTCTATAGCTTACCTTCTTCCAATGCTACAGGATCTCAAACGCACGGAACACGAACAGTCTGACGCCGTTTCCCAGCATTCAACTTCCAAGCCTTTGAATCCTCGCGCACTCATACTTGCGCCTACCCACGAACTCACTCGCCAACTCGCCAGCTTCGCAAAAAACTTATCCCACGTTATCAAATTGCGCGTCATGTGCGCTAGCAAGGCGAACACCACTAGCGCAGCCAAGTTTAGTGGAACCGCCTCGAAAATGAAAGAAAAATTTGAGGGAACTGGTACTGTGAGTGATGGTGCGTTCGTGATTTCAAAAGCTTCCCGTGGGTCAAGACCGGTAGACCTTCTGGTGGGTACGCCGATGAAGCTTCTTGAGATGGAACGTGGGAGAGGCTGGAACTGGGAGGAACGGGCAAGGGAGCGGGCGATGAGGATAGGGAAGGCAAAATCTGAAGATGTAAAGGATACGGATGAGGGCAGCAAAGAGGCCTCGAGAGAATTTTGGGTTGATGAACCCGAGATGGGCTTGGAGAACGTGCAGTGGGTGGTTGTAGACGAGGCAGACGTCCTCTTCGGTGCGTGTTTCACTCAAGGCATAATACATTTACTGACATCGTACAGATCCGGACTTTCAGGAATCTACTCGCATGCTTCTTGGTGATATCGCTGCAGCCCGTGGTTCACCTGTCCCAGTAATCCCTTCCTCGGCTCTATCCTCGACTCCGGATACAGAAGCTACTACAACAATCTCCTACCCGTTCAACTTCCTTCTCACTAGCGCGACAATTCCCACATCCCTTGCTACCTATCTTTCAAACTATCATCCATCCCTCACCCGCCTTGCATCCCCACGGCTACATCACCTCCCTCCGACCCTTCGCACAGAGCACACCTCATGGACGGGCGGGAACAAAAATGCAGATATCGAGCGTCGCATCCGTCGCGTATGGGCTGAAGATGCCCTCGTGCACTCCAAGACTGCAACAGGTTCCGGCCCCGTCAAACTCTCCAAGCTCCTCGTCTTCTGCAACAAACGCAGTAAAGTCGAGCAATTGGCTGCATTCCTCGACGGCCGCGGGATCAAATGCGTCGCGCTCACCGGTGGTGCAGAAACGCGCAAACGGGGGTCGAATCACCATCTTGACGGGTTCTTGAAGACGGGTGGGCCTGTCCTGACGGGTCCGGGTGTGTGTGATCCGGCTCAGACGCCTCATGTACTTGTTACGACCTCGCTTCTTTCCCGTGGGCTGGATTTTTCGCCGACGATCAAACATGTGTTCATTGTTGATGAGCCGAGGAATATGATTGATTTTTTGCATCGTGCTGGTCGTGCTGGGCGTGCGGGCGAGGCGGGGAAGGTGGTGGTGTTTGGGAGGGCGAAAGGGAGGGGTAGTGGGCGGACGGAGGAGGTCAAAGAGAAGGTCAGGGCTGTTGCTGGATAGATGGTGGTGGTGGGTCGTTCAGGATCGGTACGGTCATTTCAACTGATCTTATGTGTATTATTCATAGACGTCTGATAATCCCTACTAATCAATTTTGCATGCTGTGCCTTTACTTGACGTTCGTGAATTAACCTCCAGTCACAGTGAAACTCCTGGTCACAGTCAGGTTGCTACAGAGTACGCCCGAGTGAGAAGTTGTTCAGAGGGCCGCTACTGAGGGAAATATTGCCGTATTTACCAAACTTGGTTGAGGTGAGTCTGACTGCCCCCTCGAGCTGCCACACCTTCCGAAAGAACGGAATTTTCTATAAGGTGTTATTTCTTCAGGGTGCGTTTTCAAATTCTAATCAGGAATCGTTCCTCCGCGCCAAGTGTGCATGTGTATCTCGAGGCAGTCCAGATCGATTGCCGCGTCGGAGAACTCAGAATACATGTTCGAATTTCTCTTTCAGGACATACTTCCACTAGGAAAACACTCCAAGCGGTTCAAATTTGTTTCCGTCGAATGTTCTGTAGACACGATGTTCCTCTATCATATATATTCTGAGATTGAATTCCTGGGAAGAGTACTTGGCAATATATTAATGAGGACGTCGACAACCTAGAAGATATGGCTAGTCCAGATTAATTCCATAGGCGGGCCTACTAGAATATTCTACATTAAATGCAAAGCGGAGTCCGGACACGATGCGTCGATGTTCCTCTCCATGAGGGCACGTTGCATATAGACTGAAGAGCGACGATGAGAATTTTCGAGGTCTTCTGGTCACGTCAAGCATCATCATGGAACATTGATAACGAGGACTACTATGGGTCATGGTCATGGTGTCAGCCTGAAGCGATTCGAACGGATGGTATGTTTTTTTTTTTCAGTTCAACATATATATGATACCGTAGGAGCTGTACATTGCTTGCGCGACTCCTATTACCCCGCTTGTACTACAAGGCCAACTCGGATGGGGCTACTGATCGTGATCGATCTTACATGTAAACTAATAACACGTAGTATTACCTGTATATCTTATCATAGCTCAAGCGCTCACGTGTTCAAAGCTCTCGGTTCCGTCGGACTCGAGAAGGTTCAAGATCAACGTTCATCGTCTCCGAGCTAGCCATTTCGATATATGTTGTGTTCAACGACTACAATCCTCCCGGCGGTCCGAACCTTCTTCCTGGATTCCGAGTCAACATGAGATAGGTCAAACTATCTCGATTTCGTGACATGCTTGATGCGCGTTTTGTGTTTGGCTTTTAAGCTTATCAAGCCTGTCAGTCCCTGACCATGCCAGTGGGGCCTCCTTTCCTGACTTAGTACATGACGCTCCGTATCGGTCACTAAGGCTCGGCTGTGATCCAAACGACACGTTTACTGCACTATTCCTGAAAAGCACATGCTAGGGGAATGTGGCCCTTACTGCCGGCGGTTACCATGTCGCAGCGTGCGGCTAATGAGCGGTCCAAGCCTAAGTCCAAGCCCAAGACCCTCAACTCGGACTCAGACTCACTCAGAGTCGGACGCATTTGAACTCCAAGTCTTTGTATTGAAGATTGTCCTACATGCGGCTACAGCTGCCCAAGTTTCCACCAAGACTTTGGTAAGAGCATACACTCCGAGTACGAGGTTGCCGTCCACACACTTATGTGCCCACAGGCATTTCATTTCCCGGACACTCCCGCAACGTGCCAACGGGTGACGATAAGATTACAGAGATCGCAATTGAATGGCAAACAGTGCTACAGCATGAGTTGGGGTCACTGATTACTAGGCTTCGATCAGACCCTAGTTTGGAGCCAGGGAATGTTAATCTCTCAACCAGGCTGCTCACGCAATTGTGCAATGCTAACCATCAATTTGTATGGGAAGGGCGCCGCCACTATTGTCAAAGTTATCGTAACAGCCGTACACTCCTCGGTTTCTCGGTGCATCTAATTGTCCACATCTTCCTACGCTCGGGTCTTGGATATGAAAACGAACTTGGTCACCCACAGCATGTCAGTGCGTCCTGACATGATGACGGCGTATTTACGTTGTTGGACGTCACGGTTGAATGTTAACGAGCGTCTGGAACCTACTAGACGAAGCATCGGAGCCGGCGGTAGCAAACTTAAATGCCGTGTCCCCAAGAATAACTCAAAGCTAACTAACGCTTTTATCCTAGTTCATCATGCTCCCTAAATATCAGACCGAAAAATTACAAGGCCAAGAAGCCTCCACTCGGGGTTGCCGAAATACATTCCCACATATGCGCAGCAAGGGTGCGTCTCTTTGAACCCTTTCCTCTCAGTTACGAACTTCTCTCATTCCTCGCTACCGTGTCATACTACATATGTAGCCCAACGAAGATCATCTATGACATACTCTGCCGCATGAAGGCTTACGCGTACACACATGTACCACATCTTGTAATACCCGCGACTCGTTCCATCACCACCTGGCCAATTGGCACCCATTCCCATTGGCCCCCTAGCGTTGTACGGCACCCACTTTTGTGTGTTGGAATATGTACGTTTCGCAGAAGGTTTTAGACTAGCTGCCGCTCTAACTAATTCGGTTTCGTCAACAGGAGGTCACCGATTGGTAGTCTTCAGTTGTATAAAGTCATGACCAGCTTCCAAAAACCGCCATATTCAAGAAGCCTTCACTGCCTTTGTCTCGGATATGGATACATTGCATCAATTACCGCGGTCTTCGTCGTCATACTTCTGGGGGCAGGACGCACATGTTGACGTTAGGTGAGGAGGCTATCATTTCTACCAACGAGTACTAGTCCTCATGCTGTGTCCAGTGTTTACGATGGGCGGTCCACCAGCATTAGTGAATCACAAACTCTACCTCGAGGGTTTGATTATTCTCCGTCAATGTATGTGTTGCTCGCGAGTCGATAATTTTGAAGCTCATGTGTGTTCCAGGAACATGGCGCACGGTCATGCAGGTTCGCAGGTGTATTTCGCTGGGCCGCCCCTGATCGACACCAGGGCTTGGGAAACCTTGTTTCACCATCCTTCAGAAAACTTTCCACGCAACTCGCCGTTAGCACCCAATCATTGGCAGTACAGCTATTCTCCATTCGTGAGCCGCGAACACCCCACATCCGACAACTACATGGATGAATCTACTCAAAGCGAGTGGACGACAACGCCAGTTGACGCTCGTCCACCGTACGCGCCGTTCACCCTAGGCCCCCCATTTCCTTCAGTACCCTCAGAATCACACGTGTCTCCTTCTGTTGACGATCGAGAGCTGCATCATGAACACAGGGCGTCCGACGTGGAAGTATTTTATTGCCCGCTGCCATCGAGTGATGGAACGTATTGCAATGCACCGATCCCGTGCAACGAAGCCCGCATCACGGCGCACTTGCGCAGCATCCACGCGCTGCATGCGAAGCGTTTTGAAGTCATTAGTTGTCTGTGGCCTGGATGCAACTGTAGCATGCAAGCAGCGAGCATTCCTCGTCACATCATCACGCTTCACGTCAAGACACGTTTCCAATGCTCGTACTGCGGCAAAAGCCTCACACGAAAAGACGGGAAGTTAAAGCATGAGAAAATATGTCATGAAAAACCGTGACGGCACTTCCATTTTTCTTCAGGTTATTGATCAGCCAACTTTATGTAGCGCCTCATTTAAACTAAGATTCTCTTGCATACTAATTACAGCTTCTCAATTTTATACCACGCAGTTTCTTGCATATTTGAACGTTAACCTTTATATTCTATCCCCTCGGGGCGCCTTGTATGGTAGAAATCTTTCATATTGACGAATCATGTTGCAAAGTTGCCCGCTTAAGCCCCCTGAGGCCAGCTCTAGCATAAGCATTACTAAGCAAATTGATATTTTATGAGTCAGTTTCAATTTGCCAGCAAGCTCAAGTCCTTCTGGCTACCAAGAAGCAATGTTTGCACTTCGGTCGCGCTGCGCGTCTCGTGTAGCGAATTCGCGGCTTTTTTCGACTTCGACGCGCCTTCGCGCTCCTGAAGATGCACCAAAACCACCACGATCCATCGATGACTCGACCTCTGCGCTGGACTACAAAAGAGCACAACGGATACGTCCACCACCTCTTCCCCCTACGGACCTTCCAAGATCTCAAAGCGCAGAAGAAGCTGTGACGAACATCCTCTATAACACCCCTCCTCCGAGTCTGCAGCCCTTTAAAAAGTGTATTTTAATCGCAATCCAAGTTTTTGCAACTTTGCTGACGGAGTCCGACTTAGACATATCTTTAACTGCCTGGTACAAAATGAACCTGGTGTGTTATCCCGCGTGTCTGGTATCCTCGCTGGACGCGGGTTTAACATCGACTCTCTGGTGGTGTGCCGGACTGAAATTCGGGACTTGAGTCGGATGTCTATCGTCCTTAGCGGACAGGATGGAGTTGTGGAGCAGGCAAGGAGACAGCTAGAGGACCTCGTAAGTTGTATTGTCCAACACCATTTCACCCTTTTCATTGCAGAATAGGTGCCTGTTTGGGCTGTTCTCGACTATACAGATACCCGTGTTATCACACGTGAATTGCTCCTCGTAAAAGTGTCCATCCTTGGGCCCGAGTACTTGGAGGATCAACTCGTGGGTGGACCCTCTCATGAGCCGAGGCGGGAGCACCACCCACCTCATCGGGAGACCAAACTTGAAAAAGAAACCACGCTCGCTCACAATTTCGAGCGTGGTGCCCACCCTAACTCTCACACAGAGCCACATAATCCACCCCCGTTGACGCCCTCCGAGGCCCTCCGCCACAAACACCAGCACCTCCAATCCATCTCCGTCTTATCCGACCAATTTGGAGCAAAGATCGTCGATGTGAGCGAGAACAGCGTCATCGTCGAGCTCACTGCAAAAACGAACCGCGTCATCGCGTTTTTGAGTTTACTCAAACCATTCGGAATCTTGGAATCAGCTCGGACTGGTGAGTCTTGTCTTCGTGTCCGTGCGAGTTAAGTTGACTGTCTGTAGGTCTTATGGCAATGCCGCGGACGCCCATCACGCATTCCTCGAATGATTCTGACGATGCAGCGGATGAGATAGGTGTTGTAGATGCTAGTTTGCTTCCCCCTGGTTAGGTGGGCAGTTGAAGCGGCTGTCGTGTGATATGTATTGGTTAAGATATATCATGCTGACAATTCTATATAGCGAGGAATCTAGAGGATTCACATCAGTTGTGATCTTGTAATTCCCTGACGAGCATGGTGGAATGATATCATCGATTAGCAACAGACGTCCAAGGTCAATCCTAGAAGATATATATACGCCGATACGCGTACATTTCAAGTTGGGGTATACGAGGGTTTCCACCAATAACGTTGATCTGGGGTCTTGTAACCCGGACCGTGCTGGGTTTACATATCTCACACTTGCATAGATCTTCGCGTGTCCTTTGCATCGTTTCCCTATCATCTCGCGTTTCCTCAGCCAAATTTTGAGTTACCCAACTCCCTCGAGGTGTTTTTGATTTGGTCGGTTATTGTGCATGCAAAGCTGTAATAGAGTGGTCACACCCAGCACCAGCGATCGACGCGTTTTCACCACCATAAGTTAGGACGAGTGCTTCTAGGAGAGGTCTGGCTGGTCCTTAAACACAGCTACAGTATTTCTATGGAACTGATATCCATATTGTCAACGGAAGCTATCTCTTTGACTTGTGCAATGATGTTATGGTCCGACGCGATCCTCTTGTACTCTCCGTCACGCTGCTGCGCTAACAAAAATGCTCCGAAAGGCCGACCAAGGTGAAACATCATTCGTAACGCTCGCGAGCGATGCTCCTCCTCTTCTACAGGCGGACGACCGGACAACTCGTCAGACTCGTCTGACTGAGACCCGGGCTCAGACAAATCCCCTACGCTGCCTTCATCGTCTGTAAAGTCAAGTTGCTCGAGGAGACGACGATCCCATGGACGGACAAGGAGGAACGTTTGTCGAGTGGACCGTGCTCGGGAAAATTGAATTAATGTCTCGCTCGTGGTGATCAGCAGGTTTTGAAGCCCGTCTGCTTTGACTCTATAAAGAAAATGCGTCTCTTGGGCTGGACCACGCCTGATTTCCGTGACAGGGAATGAGATGCAAGGCAAATGCAGTCTGCGGCTTGCGAAGCGAGGAACGCTTATGCCTTTCAACAGGGCATAGAGTTTCGAGGCCAAATCCACAGCCACGCTATTTGTTCGCAGCGAAGAGACCTCTGTCTGGATCTCATTTTCAGACAAAGATGGTGGGGCGTATGGTAGGGAAGCATATGAGGTAATGTCGGCAGGAAGACAACTGTTGAACTCGGATGATTGCCCGACCCAACCGAGGGCTGTGATGTCACCCGACCGAGCAATAATCTCCTGCAGGAGACGCCCGAGCGCATTTGCCTTCTTCTCGCCATAATCTAGAGGTAGACGGACATCAAAGACGCCAAACAACGAGTATGCGATGTCTTCCTGAATCGTTGTAACACGATTTGACGCCCATCGAAGTCTCTCTCGTGCGCCGTTCATCCCTGGGGAGAAGTTGACGAGGGCCTGTCGATCAACGCCAGTCGCAGCTTCCAACTCCTTCATTATTGCAGTCGACTTTTTGTGGTTGCGAGAGCGATCACTGAGATACGGGGTCCAATCCCTCTGATAAAAGATAACGACTCTGGAAGCAAGGAATTCTTGAAAGGTCCATCCTCGTCTGTTCCACTCACTCATCTCCAGAGCACCAGACTTGGATGAAGGCAGAACATCCCAGAGGTAGACAATTGTAAGCGCTGAATGTTGGTACCAGATGAACATGGAGTTGAGCGATTGTTGCAACTCGACGTTACTGCTCTTGTCAATACAGCATGTATCGCTCCATGCCCAGCGGTAACCGAAATCACGAGCAATTTCACAGAAGTTCTGCAACTTCGCGATGCCACCAGGCAAATTCAGCTTGTATACACTCTTGCCCTGGATGTCTTGCAGCAGCGGCTCCTTCCTTTGCCATCTATGGGATAACATGACATAACGGAAGTAAGTCGCCACCGCTTCTGTGATGTGTTCCATTCGGATGTCTGCGCGCTTCATAGACCATGATAGCCAAAGCTCATTGTGTTCTGCGCTCGTTTTGAAGGCGCTTATCTGTGCTTCACGGTCACATGAGAGCCCGGTGGCAGTGTTGAGTAGACGAAGCGGGGCGTTCTCGAGTTGTTGGTCAATGGTCCTTCGGATAACACCGTCTGATTCATATGGACTAGCATACTGCTTGCGAAGATCTGGAGGATGGGTTGAGCATCCGAACAATTATGTTATTGAGGGCTTACCTTGCATGACCACGTCGTGAGCACTTTCCAATTTGGCGAACATCATTCGGAAGGCCGCGATAGCTTCATCATAGCGATGTGCGCCTTGAAGCGCCGCAAGCTTCAACTTGTATCCAACATGAGACGAAGGGTTCAGTTGGATGACCTTTGTGCCAAAGTCAGCATTTGATTATGAAATGTCCTGAATAGGTGTCATCGCACCTTCTGTGCATCGAGAAGTGCTTCGGTCCATAGTCTTTTCCCTAACTTTGCCTTACTACGATTTGCGAAGACGGCATCAGATGCAGAATTTACGCTGATCACTGCTGAAAATAGGTTAATAGCACTGTCATAATTGCCTGCAGCGAGGGCAGCATGTCCGTTGTCAAGGCAGAGCGCGCTGCATTCTTCCTTGAAAGCTGAGTGAGATGCAAGTGAGGATTGTAGCTTGCATGACATTATGAACTTCAGACTTGCCATTGGACCAGTCAAGGCAGCCGGCCTTCGTATTGTTGTCAATCTTATCCATCATGTCTCGGTATGAATTCAGGGCTTCGGCAAGCCTGCCTGCCTGACGGAGCGCAACGCATCGTTTCTGGTGTGCATTTTTCCACAAGGACTTTAGGTCCCATCCGAAGAGCTGCGAAAAGCATGGTGTTCAACGTGACAAGCATGTTCAGATGAATTGTATCAACATACCACTACAAAGTCGTCGCATGCAGGATAAATCGTCGATGTAGATAAGAGAGCGCTGGACTGGACAGCAGCAGTGAAATGATCGGCAGCGTGGTTAGGAAGGGCGTCATTCATGGCATTGACACCGAGTTGGACACGCATATATGCCTGATGTGCGAAGTTCAGCGAGATTATTATTAAGAGGTTGATCAAGGAGCTGATACTCACCTCCACGACGCGACACGCAAGAGAGTCGTGATTCGGATACGTTGCAGCAAGCTCTCGCACAAATATGATTGATTCTTCGTGTTGGTCCGCATTGAAAATAGCGATGGCCTGAAATCAACGAGTTAAAATATGAATCATGTGAGAGAAAATCTATTTGCCTTGACCAAGAGAAGTATAATCTTTGAATCTTCGTTCGCGTACGTTGACGCGAGGTCAAATGCTATTCTCGCGCCCTGGATGTGGCCTCTTCCATATAGTGCGATGCCCTTGGAGATATAGCCTGTCAATGATGGCTGAATGCTGATGGACTACGTTCCGGAAGAAGGTTGGCCTTTCGTAAGGGGACCATGGTATGTTAGTCTCTCACCTCAATTGCATCCTGAAGCGCATAGTCCCAGTCGCATTTTCGTGCCATAACGAATGAGCGGTTAGCATATGAGGCGTAATTGTTGGCATCGGTGTTTATCTCTCGTGTAAACAGTTGTTCAACGGTAGACAGATCCCCCGCGATACATGCATTGTAGGCAGTCGTATTGATAGGGAAAATCTGGGGCATGAAGAATGTCTGAATTACATGAGCAGAGTCAAGGATGGAAACGTGCCTTGGAATCAGAGACATCGAAACATGCCTTGGAATCTGAGACTTGAGACTTGAATAAAACTGGATGTTAACGTGGAAAAGGGCGAAGGGGGAATTCAACGGCAACTTACGTTGTTTGTGACTTTATTGTCTAGAGGGTCCTTTGGTAAAGTGTCCTTGCGCGAGATGAGATGACGAATGCGCAGCAAATGAACCGGAGAATAGCCAGATAAAAACAGAGGAATAAAAATCAAGAATAATAAAATGGCTTCATTTATGTAAGAAGCACCTTCCTCCTGCAAAGCATCTTTTGGGTCCACTGCCCACTTTGTGAGCGTGTTATTGTCAGTGTAATAACTTCCACTGAAGATGTATTTGCCGTCCACGGAGAAAGCTAGGGATTGCGATGATTGCTGGAAGGTGGCAACAGTTTGTCGATCGGACAGCCGCCAGAGACGGATGTCATCAGATGCGCCGGACGCAACGAGTGTGCCATTAGGATCAACAGCAAGGGCATTGATATAGTTCGTGTGGCCTGTCGTCCAGGGATCACCGACCTGCTGCCAGGTCAATGTATCCCACTCTAGTATGGTTTTACTAATGCGTGCTGAAAGAAGGCGCGTGCCATCGGGCGTCCACACGATGGATGTTGCGTAAACCTCCAACTCTGCGACGCGTTCCCTCGTGCTTGAATTATAAATTTCGACCTTGGATGCTGCGATGGCAAGTAGTTCTCCAGATGGCGAATACTGAACATCGCCAACGTGACCACTAAAGTGGATTGAACTTCCCAGTAGCAGCTTCCAAGTTTCGGTGCACCACAGCTTCAATGTTTTGTCTGTTGAACCAGTGGCCAGCACTTTTCCATCAGGAGAAAAGTCCAGCGATAAGATCCGATTGTAGTCGGTGTACCTGACGTAGTTTTCGATGTTTCCAGTGAGTCGTTCACCTGTTTCTCCGTGCCAGACCGTGACCACTCCGTGCAGGTCACCGCTTGCTATCAATTGCCCATCTCGTGACACTGCCAAGGCCGACACCCAAGCGCTATGCCACTCTATCTTCTTCAACATAACACCTTTCTTCAAGTCCCATATACGAAGCGTGCGGTCGTACGAAGCTGTGACCATTCGCCGTTTGTCGGGGAAAACTGCGACTGCCCTTACGCTTTCTTCATGACCTTTGAACTCTTGCAGGGGTGTGGTGGTTATATTTGGCTCCGACATTTTGCTGGAGGCTGATGGTGTTGAACACGGTCAAGGTCGACTGGAAGGATCGTGGGTGTCTCTGTCTAAGCTGCAGAAGTGCGTATTTCATGCTCTGTGTCACTGCATTTGTCTCCCTCGTGTTTCCATAGACGCCCAAGACACTAGGTCACTTTTCGCCTCCACACCTCCATAACCGTTGTAGCAGGAATGCTCCGTGCTGTCATGCTCGCCTTCCTAGATAGCATACCCTCCCGGCGCCTCTGCACTGTGTACATGCGTTCGACTCTTATCTCCACAGCTTCTGGGATATATGTCTTCGTATCTAATTCAGATTGTGCAGTTGTGACTTCCCGGCGCTCGAATACCATCCATCTTGGATGGCCGCACGAATATCGGGGTTTCTCGTATCGAGCAGCCACTCAAGTATATCACCTTGCAACTTGCCCGAACACATCCATATATTTTAGTGCAATATCACTTGATCCAGTCGAAGATCTGCATTGTGCACCAGTGGATGCGGCCGAATTTATCTATTCTCGCTTCTCAATCCGAAATCATGCAGCGGGGTGTTTCCACTTCCAAGGCTCGTTTTATCCAACATTTGTGAGACAACACCCTCAAAGGTGTTCATTTTCCGAGGAAAGTGAGTGGCACATATGCATGAATACATATTACAATAAAGACTTTGCACAGACCTATGTGTCCTTGAAATCCACTGCGCAACACCGAATGACTAAATAAGCACCATGAATACTCACCTGAATCCGTGTGCCCAGGTCTTTCTCTCCCTCTCGGTCTTGCAAGTATATACCTATCCAGTAAAATTAGTATTCCACGTCGTACCCAATACCAGTGATCATGTTTAATTTGTGTTCACCGCCATAAGTTAGGTTCAGATGAGTGCCTCTCGGAAAGACCTGCTCATCGAATACAATCATAGTATTTCTATGGAACCGACGTCCATGTTGTCAACAGAAGCTATCTCTTTGACTTGTGCAATGATGTTATAGTCTGACGCGATTCTCTTGTATTCTCCGACACGCTGCTGCGCTAGCAAAAATGCGCTGAAAGGCTGACCAAGATGGACCATCATTCGCAACGCTCGTGATTGATGCTCCTCTTCTACAGGCGGATCGTCGGGAAACTCATCAGAGCCGTCTGACTGAGACCTGGGCTCGGACAATTCCCCTACACTCCTTGTATCGTCTGCAAAGTCAAGCCGCTCGAGGAGATGACGGTCCCATGGACGGACAAGAAAGAACGTTTGTCGAGTCGGCTTTGCCCGCGAGAATTGAAGCAGTGTCTCGCCAGTGGTTATCAGCAAATCTTGAAGCCCATCTGCTTTGACTCTGTACATGAAATGCGTCTCTTGGGCTAGACCACATCCCTGTCTGATTTCCGTGACACGGAATGAGATGCAAGGCAAATGCAGTCTGCGGCTCGCGAAGCGAGGAATGCTCATGCACTTCAACAGGGCATAGAGTTTCAAGGCCGAATCCACAGCCACGCTATTTTTTCGCAGCGAAGAGACCTCTGTCTGGATCTCATCTTCAGACAAAGATGGTAGGGCGCATGGTGGGGCAGCATATGAAGTAATGTCGGCAGGAAGACAGCTATTGAACTCGGATGATTGTCCGACCCAATCGAGGGCAGTAATGTCACCAGACCGAGCAACAATCTCCTGCAGGAGACGCCCGAGCGCATTTGCCTTCTTCTCGCCATAATCCACAGGCAGACGGACGTCGAAGACGCCAAACAACGAGTATGCGATGTCTTCTTGAACCGTTGTAACACGATTTGATGCCCATTGAAGTCTCTCTCGTGCGCCGTTCATCCCTGGGGAAAAGTTGACGAGGGCCTGTCGATCGATGCCAGTCGCAACTTCCAACTCCTTCATTATTGCAGTCGACTTTTTGTGGTTGGGAGAGCGATCGTTGAGATACGGGGTCCAATCCCTCTGATAAAAGATAACGACTCTGGAAGCAAGGAATTCTTGAAAGGTCCATCCTCGTCTGTTCCACTCACTCATCTCCAGAGCACCAGACTTGGATGAAGGCAGAACATCCCAGAGGTAGACAATTGTAAGCGCTGAATGTTGGTACCAGATGAACATGGAGTTGAGCGATTGTTGCAACTCGACGTTACTGCTCTTGTCAATACAGCATGTATCGCTCCATGCCCAGCGGTAACCGAAATCACGAGCAATTTCACAGAAGTTCTGCAACTTCGCGATGCCACCAGGCAAATTCAGCTTGTATACACTCTTGCCCTGGATGTCTTGCAGCAGCGGCTCCTTCCTTTGCCATCTATGGGATAACATGACATAACGGAAGTAAGTCGCCACCGCTTCTGTGATGTGTTCCATTCGGATGTCTGCGCGCTTCATAGACCATGATAGCCAAAGCTCATTGTGTTCTGCGCTCGTTTTGAAGGCGCTTATCTGTGCTTCACGGTCACATGAGAGCCCGGTGGCAGTGTTGAGTAGACGAAGCGGGGCGTTCTCGAGTTGTTGGTCAATGGTCCTTCGGATAACACCGTCTGATTCATATGGACTAGCATACTGCTTGCGAAGATCTGGAGGATGGGTTGAGCATCCGAACAATTATGTTATTGAGGGCTTACCTTGCATGACCACGTCGTGAGCACTTTCCAATTTGGCGAACATCATTCGGAAGGCCGCGATAGCTTCATCATAGCGATGTGCACCTTGAAGCGCCGCAAGCTTCAACTTGTATCCAACATGAGACGAAGGGTTCAGTTGGATGACCTTTGTGCCAAAGTCAGCATTTGATTACGAAACGTCCTGAGTAGGTAGCATCGCACCTTCTCCGCATCGAGAAGTGCTTCGATCCATAGCATTTTCCCCAACTTTGCCCTACTACGATTCGCGAATATGGCATCGGTTGTTGAATTTACGTTGATCACCGCTGAGTATAGGTTAATAGCACTGTCGTAATCATCTGCAGCGAGGGCAGCACGTCCGTTATCAAGGCAGAGCGCGCTGCATTCTTCTTTAAAAGCTAGATGAGATGTGAGGACTATGGCCTTCATGACATGATGAACTCCAGACTTGCCATTGGACCAGTCAAGGCAGCCGGCCATCGTATCATTGTCAATACTATCCATCATGTCTCGGTATGAATTCAAGGCCTCGGCAAGCCTGCCTGCCTGACGGAGCGCAACGCATCGTTTCTGGTGTGCATTTTTCCACAAGGACTTCAGGTCCCATCCGAAGAGCTGCACAAAGGACGGAGTTCGACATGACAAGCATGTTCGGATGAATCATATCAACATACCACTACAAAGTCCTCGCATACCGGATGAATAGTCGATGTAGATGAGAGAGCGCTAGACTTGACAGCAGCAGTGAAGTGCTCAGCAGCCTGGTTGTGACGGGCGTCATTCGTGGCATTGATACCGAGTTGAACACGCAGATATGCCTGATGTGCGAAGTTCAGCGAGATCAGCATTAACGCACAAATGAGAGGTTGATCAGCTCACTTCCACGACGCTACACATGAGAGTGTCATGATTCGGACACACTGCAGCAAGCTCACGCACAAATATGACTGATTCCTCGTTTTCGTCCTGGTAGAAAACGGCGATAGCCTAAAAGAAACGAGTTGAAATATGGATTGGGTGAGCGAAAGATTGATGTTGCCTTGATCAAGAGAAGCATAATCTTTGAATCTTCATTCGCGAATGTGGACGCGAGGTCAAATGCTGTTCTCGCGTCCCGGATGTGGCCTTTTCCGTATAGGGCGATGCCCTTGGAGATATACCCTGTCAAGGAGGGTCGAATGCTAATGGACTATGTTACGCAGGAAGGTTGGCCTTTCGTAAGGGGACCATGATGTCAGTCCATCTCACCTTGTTTGCATCCTGGAGCGCATGGTCCCAATCTCGTTTTCGTGCCATAACAAATGAACGGTTGGCATACGAGGCATAGTTGATGACATCAGTGTCGATCTCTTGTGTAAACAGTTGTTCAGCGGTAGACAAATCCCCCGCGATGCATGCATTGTGGGCGATCGTGTTAATGGAAAGGATCTGGGGTATGAAGAATGCTCGAATTGCGTTGGCAGAGTCAAAGATAGAAACGCGCCTTGTAACCAGGAACTTGACACTTGAATAAAATTGATTGTTAACGTGGAAGACAACGAAGGTGGAATTCAACGCTGACTTACGTCATTTATCGCCTTATTGTCTGGAGGGTCCCTTGGCAAAGCGCCGTTGCACGAGATGAGACGACGAATGGGCAGAAAATGAACCGGAGAGTAGCCAAACGAAAACAGAGAGAGAAAAATCAAGAATAACAACAAAATGGTCTCATTTATGTAAGAAGCACCTTCCTCTTGCAAAGCGTCGGGGTCTACTGCCCACTTTGTGACCGAATTATTATCAGTGTAATAACTTCCACTGAGGATGTATTTGCCGTCCGTGGAGAAAGTGAGGGATGCCGATGATTGCTGGAAGATGGCAACGGGTTGTCGATCTGACAGCCGCCAGAGACGGATGCTGTCAGTTGCACCGGAAGCAACGAGTTTGCTATTAGGATCAACGGCGAAAGCAATGCCATGGTGAGTGTGGCCCGTCGTCCAGGACGTCCAGGGATCACCGACCCGCTGCCAGGTCAATGTATCCCATTCCAGTATGGTATCTGCATTTCTAGTATGTACTATCCAGCGTGCTGCAAGAAGGCGCGTGCCATCGGGCGTCCACGCTATGTGCCTTATGTAACCATCTTTGGAATTTGGCAACTGGAACTTTGCCGTTGTGCTTAAATTATATATTTGGATCCCGCTTGCCAATTCTGTTGCGGATGCGATGGCAAGAAGTTCTCCAAACGGTGAATACCGAACATGGTCGACGTCACGATCGCAATAGATTGTTTCTAGCAGCGTCCAGGTTTTAGTGGACAACAGCTTCAACTTGTTGTCTCTTGAACCAGCTGTGACCAGCACTTTTCCATTAGGAGAAAAGTCCAGCGATGAGATCTGACCAGGGTGGTTGCCCAGGCGGTACTCGACCAACTTTCCGAGGTTTCTAGGAAGTCGTTCACCTGTCTCTCCGTGCCAGACGGCGACCATTCCGTGCCGGTCACCGCTTGCTATCAATTGTCCATCTCGTGATATTGCCATTGCCGACACCGAAGCGTTATGCCATTGCTCCATCTCCTTCAACACAACACCTTTCTCCAAGTCCCATATACGAAGCGTGGGGTCGTACTGCGAGGCTGTAACCATTCGTCGGTTGTCAGGGAAAACTGCGACATTGTCTACGCGTCCGGGTCCTTCATGACCTTTAAACTCTTGCAGGGGTGTGATGCTTGTATTTGGCTCGGACATTTTACTGGAGGCTGATGGTGTTGAGCACGGTCGAGGTAGACTGGAGGGATTGTGGGTATGACGTGTCCTTCTCTAAGCTGCAGAAGTGTGTATTGCGTGTTTTATGCTGTGTCACCGCATTTGCCTGCCTCGTGTTTCCATAGACGCCCAAGACGCACAGTCTACTGCAATCTCCAGTTGAAGAGTCAAAACACATATTACAACGAAGACTTTGTCCAGACCTATGTCTCCTTGAAATCCACTGCGCAACACCGAATAACTAAATAAGCATCATGATTAAAAAACCAAGTTCTCCTACTCCCTGGGGTCTGCAGGCACCGAGCAACCGTTAACTCCGAACGAGTCCCTAAAGCATCCCCCGTGCTACACACCACTGCCAGTCGATATATGCACGCGCTCCTGGAAAGCGATCGAGGTCATGTTGGTCGCTGCATCGGAGTCAGTCACGAGCTTAGCGGTATAGTCTCGAATGCCAAGGATCAGGCGTGGTCCGAGCACAAACATCTGCACGACTGTCAAAATTTGGAGTGTGCCATAATAATAATCAAGTCCGATGGTATTTGGGTTCTATAGAAATGATAAGGCGCGGTTACATGCAGAGGTTAGACAAATCCGCATACCACTGAGATCGCTGGAGACAAAATCATGAGGTTGAAAATAGAGACGGCGACAAAGCTAGCGTGTTTGATCATTCAGCGGGAAAAGGGAACCATACTCATATCTTAAGCTCACCTCAAAAAGTAAAACATGTGAGATTTTATCAATACCATGAAACAATCCTTGATCACCCCTCCCGTCGAATGTTGTCGCAGCTCACGGAAGTGTTTTATAGCAATCCAGGCTGCGAGAAATAGTACGAGGACCTCCCATGCACTGCCGAATATCCAAGTAATGGAATTCAGAAGGATGGTATTGTCCCCATAGGTAGTCGCGCACTCATGAGTGCCAGAGAGAATGTATTCCTCTGGTATACATCAGTGAGCCCCATGTACACCTTTGTTCGTTCAAAATTGAGCATACCTCCCGAAGTATGCCTCATTGACATTACGGAGACCACTACGTTGAAAATGGTATCAGCCAGGAAGATGACAACGAGAAATATCAGCATCTTTCTGGATTGTTGATACATGGCATGTAACCGAGTGATCACGATGACTTGTAACATGATTCAGTATCAATATCACTGAGATTTTGCAACTGCAAAGCTCACTCCGCAACATTGCCAATATCACAACATACATCCAATTCACTACGATATACACAATCCAGCCTGATGGATTCGGTTAATAATCAGGATCACACACTGCAAACAGACTCACATCTAGGGGGGATCACTATAATGAACCAAGAAGCTGGTCAAGAATCGTACTCACCTCTACAGGGCGCCGCAGTTAGTTGCAGGGGTGATAGTAAACATAAGTACAGAAGACTCACTGCGTCTGTCAACAAGATCGTCGGAACATTGACTGTATGCCGCAGGTCAGAAGAAACGAAGACATTTAATATCGGAAGACATACTCAATATGTTCAAGCTGATTGCGATATATGGTTATTAGCACAACGACAGTGCCGAGCCTTTCAAACGTACACAGCAAATAATAATCCAAGATAGCGCACCTAAGATATTCTCAAGAGTAAGCAAGAGTTGCCAAGCATAACTATGATGCAAGCCACATACACTCAGATACAGAATGGTCATCAGGGACCAACGTTGCCTCTGTCGCAAATCAATATTTGTTGCTCTTCTAAGTTCTGACGTGGCTGCTCACCCAGACCAGTTCGACCTATAAAAGCTTTCTTAGCGAGATGGGTGTTCCGGTGATAGCATCAACATACCTCTTGTCCAAATGTAAGTGCTGGAAATATTTGTAGGTTATCAGTACTTCTTCGATATTATCATGCTCACCCCAATCATAGGTCACTCCAACAGAGGCGGCAACTGCGGAATCGCAGTCAAGGTTAGATCGAGACTCATCAGTGTTAACATCCGACTGCCACGAACCTACGAAATAGCTAGAAATGCGCCACGAAGCGATCCAAAGCCACCAACTAGGGTCGCCTGAGACTACAGTCATTTTGTTAGAGGATGGATCTGAGGGTGCGGCGGACCTGGTGGATGTATGTCGATGACATTTGTGCTAGATATAGTACCACCATCTAGTGCTTGGATACCAAACAGAGGGATGATTGAACACAGCAAAAGACAGAACGACTTTTAGAACTGCCATTTTGCTGCACGTGCATCAGTCCATCAATCCAATACTGCCGATCTGTGATGAGAGGGCTGTAATCTTGGGCTCCCTGCGCCCGGAAAGCATGACAGATCTTCCCAGGTACTGAAATAGGGGAGATCTTCGTGGAGTAAAAACTCACGTCCTGCCCTAACGTAAGGATGAGCATCATGATAGAAGTTTTGATTTGCATTTTGGAATTGACTCGGAAGCGGTGCCGGTGACAGGCATCAGAAGTTTGCACAGCCAGAGATCTAGACCGAGATCCCACCGTGCGCGTGATTGCCAATGTATTGAAATCTTGGAGAAAACATGATGGTTAATTTATATAGAAGGTTTGGACGCACCCGGGTCACAGCTATCGCATAGCACATATTTGAAATTCACGCGCATGTGGTTCATCGTGAGTCTGACACCTAACCAGTTGACTATCAGACAAATCCAAAGCTGGACTATCGCGCTGGCTAACGACCAAAAGGCTGTGGATCAGATCGACGGCGAATGGATATAAATCGGTTATAGTGAGTGGTCATTGTGATATGATATGAAGGCAGTGTAAGACTTTATCGATTGAACAGCATCAATCAACGACCCCCTAATACATACTAGGTCAGTAAAGAGCCTAGATCGGCGAGTACACAACGATCGAGCATATAGTACGCACCAGGACCCGGATCTAAGTTGTGTCCGCAAGCACTGCTGCCAACAACGGATTCAAGTAATACAAATTGTACATGTGCGCAACGCGCATACCAATGCCACTGCCAATTACTACATAAATCAGTACCCCGAGTCCTGCGCGAGTTCACCCAGGTTGAAATGGAAAGCATGATAACCCCGAGTCGTCACGCGTCACGCGTCAAGCTCATGAAGATGGTGTGGTATTACATTTTGATTCCGGTCTCCATGCCTGAGCCCATGTCTGGAGATGCGCCGAATGTACAAGAGCCTTCTCCACCCTTATCGTGGATACAGCGTTCGTCTCTGCACTGTAGGTCTGTAATGTAGAGGATCAGCAGTGCGGAACACGTAGAGCAATAGTGAAAAGACTAACAATCGAAATAACAAACTCTTGCTCGCCTTTCGGCTCTGCACCCTCAATCACATTTCTGCAGTCCTTACTTGCATCATACTCCTTCTCCTTTCCTTCCCTCGGCCTCTCGCACTTCTTATCCCTATCTCCCGCCCCCAACACGAGCCCACTTGACCACCCTCCTTCTGCTTCACGCATAACAGCCGTATACTTTGTAAGCACCAGCTGCCGCGTCTTCACCTTCGTGAGACTTGTGGTGATCGGGGGACATAGTTTACTACCATGACGCTTCGGTGACTGAACCTCAATGCACGGATAGACACATTCGGATGGTAAGAGAAGGCTCGACCTATGATGGTAAAGGATAAGGAAAGAGATCATTGATTAGGATCGTCTGGATAATTTGAGACATATCAACGACGCACCAATCTGCACTCGGACATGACCCATTACCCTACACTAGAGTCTGCGCACGATAGCGTCCACACGATAAGCTTGGTTCCAGCTTGTTCTCGGTATCTAAGTCAATCCTCGTCTTAACGTCAAAATATGCTGCCACAGGATCGATGACGGGGCTCCCATCAGAAGAGCTGGAGCCTGAGCCTGTAAAGCAGGTGGCAGCGTGAAGCACTAGCTGCCAAAGAAGAATAGCTGACCAATTAGCGGGATTGGATGCGCACACACAACACATAGGGAAGGTGACACTAACATAGGCTCCACTCGTTCTGAAAGGTTCAGTGTAAGCGTATGGTACCGGAGTGACGGACACCCAGTTTGACGATGATGTCCTTCTCTGCGAGGGCAACGAGCATCTTGTCCTTTCGAATGAGATGATTCTTGTCAAGGATCTTGATAGCGTATTCCTGATCAGTTCGGATATATTGTGCATGCATCACTTGAAGTGACATCAGTAGGGGTTGTGGGTTATACGCGATGCACATTGCACACACCGTCGAGTAAGATCCTTCTCCAAGGGTGTCTTGAAAAGAAATGTCTTGGGCTCCCGGTCTGACATTTGCACTCTTCGCCCTACTTGCCTCTAGTGATCTTTTCCTACTCTCCTTTGTCTGCTGTTGGGCTTGTAGATGGCCGGATACTCCAAGTTCACATTTGGAGGTCGAGACGGCATCACGGAGTAGCACTTCTGGACTGGGCGTTGGGAACCTGAGTGCGTGCTGGTCTTGGGCGGAAAGACTTTTGTGATTCAGATGGGATGTCAGTGTCGGAGGATGATGCTATGGCAGATGCATGGGGGGTGGGATCACTTGTACCATCCAAAAGTACCTTCTGTTGAACGACCGTTTTGAAAGTCATATAGCGCAGTACTCACGTTCAATTTCGTCATAATCACAGCTCTACCTTGATGCGGTCGACACTGTAGACTCTAGAGAATAGAACATATTTCAACAACTGACAGCTGAGGTCCAGTCAGTCCAGTAACACCTGTGTACAGCCCCCACAGCCCGGGCATGTGCATGAGGATTTCGTTAGGTGTAGTATACGAGTAGGGCGGGCATGGTCACAATTGTCATTGTGCTCGTAGCATATGTTGGAAATGAACTCTAATACATGGTCTTTCAGTAATTATCTTGTGCATCAGATTGCAGACTCGCATTAGAATACATACTTTAGTGGTGGATTTTCGTATGCATCTGAGAAACTAGACAGCCGACCGGTCAAGTTTGGGACGTCGCGGCAGTGGCGCAGCATTTTCCTGGTGCCTTGTTACCAGGCATCCGGTGTTCATTGATGATATCATGGAGCTGGTTTCGTTGGCACTGTTGGTTCTACGATGTCCATACTAGCTAGCCGCAGAGTACAGTCGTGGTATGACGAAGCGACTCGACTGATTGGATGAGGGTGGCCAGGCGCGGATGACCACTGGTGCAGATGGGTGATGGCGAACTGCCTCATGTCTGTGTCTTAGGCGTCTATGGAAATGAGGATGGTTAGCGTGGTGAAGCAACCTAAAAACGCACAATACACGCACCTTTAGAGAAACACACCCACAGTCCCTCGGCCGTGCTCAACAGCATCAACCTCCAGTAAAATGTCAGAACTCATTCCAAGCACCACACCCATTCGAGCTTTTGAAGATCATGAGGACGCCGTAAGGGCAGTCGCAGTGTTCCCTGATAAACGACGAATGATTACGGGTTCGGACGACAATACACTTCGTCTTTGGGACTTGGAGACAGGTGTTGTGTTGAAGAAGATGGAAGGGCATGGCAGTGCGGTGTGGACATTGACGAGATCGCAAAATGGTAAAATAATAGCAAGCGCTGATTGGAAGGGAGAGGTCATCGCCTGGCACGGTGAAACTGGAGAATCCATCACCCAACCCATCAAAGCCCACTCAAATCAGATCACCTCGGTGGATTTTGCTCCAGATGGTATGGTGCTGGCAACTGGTTCATGGGACTACACGGTGAAGTTTTGGTGTACCAAAACGTGGCAGATGCAAGGAGAACCAATCGAGTGTGGTCATATTGTCCTCTGCGTTCGATATTCGCCTTCTGGTGAACTGCTTGCCATCGCGACAGACCAAAATATCCAAATTTATAATCCAGACACAAGGGAATGCATCGCATATTGCACAGGCCACACAACAATATGGAGGACTCGGATGTCACTCGCGTGGACGCCCGATGGCAAACGTCTTCTTTCAGGAGGAGGTGATTACATATTGGAGTGGGACACATCAACCTGGCAGCAGATTGGTCATCGCTGGGAAGGCCACACTAACACCATCAACGCCATTGCCATTCATCCCGCTGGCACCCTCGTCGCTTCTGCATCTCGTGACAAGCATGTCCATCTCTGGCGGCTCTCAGATCGGCGAACCATCGCCGTCTTCCAGCATTCATCTTACGCGGAAGGTATCACGTTCTCTGTGGACGGCAACCACATCCTCAGCGGAGGTCATGATAACAAGATCTCAGAATGGGCAGTACCTAGCGACGTCAATTCAAAGGCGAGTTTCCATTTCTGACTCTCATCACGCAATTCGAACATCCTTCATACAGATCCTTGACATCACAACAGCCCGCGATGCATGTCTAACTGGGGATTTGTCTCTCGCTGAAGAGCTCCTCACCCAAGAGATCCACGCCAACGCCAACGACTTTACTTCATATGCCAATCGTTCCTTCGTCATGGCCCGGAAGCACAACTGGGACAACGCCCTTGAGGATGCAATCAAGGTGAGATGGACCCACCCATCATTGTCCTCTCATAAAACGCTAACTTTTGTCCGTGACATACTAGTCACTCAACATTAGACCATCGTTGATTGGCTTTATCTCCAAAGGCATCGCCTTATGCGGAAAAGGTCACGTTTGGGAAGCAAGGGTAGCATTCGACGTCGCATCCATGTTCACCAACCAAAACTCAGAAACCAACCAATTTCTTCTCTTGATCAAGGTACATCTAATTCGTCTCCCATGCTATCTGCTTCATCAGGTATTCCAGGCCATCGCACTCTTCAACGCAGATCAACACGAGGAAGCAATGCTGCTCATAAAAGACCTGGATGCCGCTTGTCCGAATGTCGACCCTCTCGCGCGTCGTGTTGTGGAAGTATGTATCATGTGGCTACACTTGGTCATCAATCCTGATCTTTTCAACTCACACAATAGACATATCTATGTGTTCAACTCGGAATCAAAGCTTTCGATAGCGCGTGTCACGACGAAGCTGCTGATCACTTCACTGCCGCTGTTAACTCAGAAGCTTTCTCATCGAAATACATTCATGTTCCATACCAGGACTTGACCGTGGTGCGTTGACATGATGCATACATAATGCTTTCCATAAACTAATGCTTTGTCCAGCTGTTTGGCTGGGATCTTAAGTACTTGTTGCTTACGACACACCAGCAACGGTGCCAGACTTTCCTTTCGGCAGGTAAACACGATGAAGCACTCGAAGCACACAAATACATGATGGACGCCATCGATGAGATTGCGCAGGCCAGCTGCCTCGATTGGTCCAATGGCGAGTTTCAGTGATGTCACCCGAGGCCATCATACTCACTTGCATTTGACCCAGAATTCAAGCAACAATGTAGCGTGCTCTGTGCTGCCAACGGAAATGCCGCCCTCGCTGCCAGCGATTATGACAGAGCTATTGACATATACTCGGCAGTAATCGACTCAAACTCTGCATCTCATGTTGTCTTTGCAAATCGTAGCAAAGCAAAGCTGGGCAAAATGCTATGGATGGACGCACTTCTCGATGCGCAGAAGGTGCGATGGGAATTATTGTCCCATAACCAATGCTCATTGTAGCGATACACAGGTAATCGAACTCGACTCTTTGTCTTATCTTGGATACAATGTGAAGCACGCAGCGCTTCATGGTGCGGAGCGCTATGATGAAGCGATTGAGACCTTCCAAACGATGCTCTCGATGTTGGACAACGCACCTGATGTTCAGACACGAAGTAAGTCTCTGATAACGCATTCGTCGACATGTTTAACTCTTTCTCCAGACCTGCGCCAGCAGTATCTCAGACCTTCCGAAGTAGAACGCGCCATTCGACGAGTCATCGATGCCCAACTCGACAACGCTCCGCTCCGTGTGCTCCACACCACCACAGGTCTCTTATGCGATCGAGAGACGCAGATGGACGCATTCAAAATGAGCATGCTGTATAAGGAGCTTGTGTCATCAACAATCGCGCATGCAGACAAGCACATCGAGCACATCGAAGAAGTGGTCAAGAGATACCTAAAATATGCCATGTTATCACATAGGTGGGAAGGGAAGGAGCCGCTGCTGCACGATATCCAGGGCAAGTGCGTGTACGACTCGGAGTTGGATCAAGTTGGCGGCATGACGAAGCTGCGGTCCTTCTGCAAAACTGCTCGCGATGCGGGGTATAACTGGGCATGGAGCGATACGTGCTGTATCGACAAGAGCAACAATGTCGAAGTCCAAGAATCGGTCAACTCCATGTTCGTATGGTATCATCATTCCGCGCTCACGATCGTCTACCTGTCTGATGTTCCGCCTTCGTCAAAGTCTGACGCACTGGCAACAAGCGCTTGGAACACGCGGGGATGGACGGTTCAGGAATTCATCGCTCCCAAAGTCATTCTCTTTTATCAGAACAATTGGACTCTATATCGTAATGATTGTACTCCCAACCACAAGGATTCCGTCTCATGCAGGAGATAAAGGGCGCAACGGGAATAGACCGACCAGCCGTTGCAGTCTTTCGTCCTAGTATGAATAGCTCTCGAGAAAAACTGCATTGGGCTTCGACCCGCATCACCACACGCCAGGAAGACATCGCATACTCGTTGTTTGGCGTCCTTGGGGTCCGCCTGCCTGTAGATTATGGTGAGAAGCAGGACAAGGCTCTCGGACGGCTCCTGCAGGAGATCGTGGCTCGGTCGGGCGACATTACTGGCCTCGATTGGGTCGGAGAATCATCAGATTTCAACAGCTGTCTACCAGCCTCCATCACTTCATACAAAGCTCCGCCCTGCGAGCTACCACCCTTACCCGAAGATGACATTCAGTCATCGGTTTCTTTGTTACGACAAACGGGGGTTGCCGATTTCGCTTCAAACTTTTATACTCGGCTTCAGAACATGAGCGCCCCTCGCTTCGCGGCACAAAGACTGCATCTGCCTTGTATTGCATTCAATGTCACGGAAGTTAGACGCCGGGTGGGTAGTCCAACTCCGGAAAGTTATCTCACGTATGGGGTGAAGGCAGACGGACTTCACGACTTGCTTATCACCACCGGAGAGACCCTGGTTAAATTCTGGCCGGCAAGGCCCATCGAGCAACTATTTTTCCTCGTCCGTCCCTGGGATCGGTCTCTTCTGGAGCTACCTGACTTCACAGAATTTCCAGAACCGTCTGACTATGGAGATGATACGGAGAGCGAGGAGGATTATGGGACGCCGCCTTCTTCTCCGTCGGACTGGTCTAGTGGTTCTCCTGTAAAACAGGGGATATCTGACTTAGAATCACGAGCATTGCGGTTGCTTGTTCGCCTTGGACAGCCTTTCGGCGCATTTTTGCTAGCGCAACAGCGCAGTGGAGAATACAAGAGGATTGCGACGGATCATGATATCATTGGACAAGTCCAAGACGTGGTTTCTGTTGGGGACTTGATGGACATCAGGACCATAGAAATATTGTAGTGGTACATATGTTTTTGTTTCAAAGTTTTTGGACCTCTGAACGTTTCGCATCTGTACTTTAGAGGTGATACCATACAGCTGCAGCATATGTATCACACATGCATGTTAGATGTGGTTTTCGCACATAGGTAGCAGCTCGGGTACAAATTATGCTCCAAGTCCCGTCGACTCGCTTCCTTATCATTTCTCGCAGCCCTTTGTTTGTCTCCAAATATTATTAGAGGGTGGGACCGCGACAAGTTAACAGTGATCCGCACATTGGCATTATTACGTCTTTCGATGGATAAATATTCTGAAACTGGCTCGAAAAGCCTGGGATTATCATTAACGAATCGTGCTTCTCCTCAGCACCAAGTTCCCCCTCCGGACGGTCACGTATCATGCTTCGATTTCCTTTACTACATAAGCGCTCATCATACATGGGAATGGGAATTAGACTACTCTCCTGCATGGATATTTGTAGGCCAACGCATGCGATGAACTGCAAAAGATTACCGATGGGCATGCCCGATGCGCCACGAATGTACCAGTAACAGAACCCACACCTCCAGCGAGTCAAAGTTTCGGGCATAGGTTGCTCTACAGATCAATTTTTGACAGTATATATTGATCCACATACAGCACGGTGACTTAGCTGGTGGACCAATGCTTTGCGCCGTTGTCTGTTATTGCGCGCAGGGTGTCTGAGGTGCAAGAAGAGCTTCGGACACGAAAAGGGATTGAGGCCACGCAAGTTATCATGACGAGCGACGAAAGGGACCCGTCGGAATGGTGGTTGGGATGGACGTGGGTAGGTTATGCAGCGAAACGGACAGAGAAGATCTATGGACAATGGTGAACCAATTAGATGTCATATTTTCATTCTGACGTTGTGGCCTAAATACTCTTCGTGCGACGTCTAGACATGATCTGGCCACCGGCCGCGGCTGCTCAGACGGGTCGTGCTCCAACCGGTGCATAAATACTTGGACCCTGAGGTCAGACGAAGGCATTTGTGATACAGTGATTGGAGCGCACTAAGAATAGACACGCGACTGCCACCTGTTTTATTATTTGTGCATGATGTGCCAGCCCCTCGAGTGTGCATGTGACTCATAAACTTGAGTCTCAGCATCGTACCCTCTATTAGTTGAACCTAACTTGGAAGTTTCAAAACATCGTACCTCGAAATGTCTGTTAACGTTCCTAATAGTGGTACACCATTTTGGGAGAAGATCATGACTGACGCAAAACACAACCTACAACTTCTCGTTTTGAAACATGGTCAAAAACGGGTGATGGTCAGACGGCAAAGGTCGTATAATGTAGGCGGAACAGCTATATATCAGTAAATCGTTGACGACTCAGATATGATAAGCTCATGCTCGACACAACCTGCAAACATTTCCCAGGCATTCCAAGAGATCTAATCACGTTGCAGACCAATCAACTCAACATTTGTGGTGGTTACTATGTGGACATCACGGCTGAAATATGGGAGGATGTCGTCGACTTGCTTAACGTAGTCGAGGTAACCCGTGCAGAAATAACGTTGCCCATCCCACCGTCACCGCTCTATGCTCAGTGGCCTATTTCATCGCTTGACAATCAACCGGCGCCAAATCAGGTTAACAGACAGAACAACTCGTACGCACCCCGAAAACTCTACAAGTATATTCAGTACTGAAGTCAAGACCATACGACAGCACTAGGAACGATGACAAAATCACGATCAAAGTCGTTTTTCCATCTGGCGAGATCCGGTCTGCCAAAATCTCGAGGACGGTACGGGTGGACGAACTCCTTGCCGAGGCTAGTGATATATTGGGACGTCGTACCGCCGATATCAAGGCAGTCTGGGATGGGTCTATAATGCGCGATGACCGGAGTATCGGATCGTACAGCATTGAGGATGGTGACTCCATCACTCTTCAGGCGGGGCCATTGTGTTTTGCCAAGCCAGTCATTTATCTACACTCGCCCTCCAATATCGACGTCTCTGTCAAGCTCTCCCTCATTCCGGAGTGGAGCCTCTCTGTAATCTATCCCATTGTTCCCATGGATGAGCATAGACGGCATTTAGAATGGAATGTCCGTACCCATGAAGATGGGAGTCTGACTGAACATAATTCCGGTCTACACGTGTCTTACTTGTTCTGGGAGGCGAAGTAAGTCCCTCGATGATATAAAAACACTCACCTAACCTATATTACTCTGGGCAGAACAAATCTGCAAGCATTTCCCCATTCACCAGCATCCAAATCGCCACCAGCGGATACATTCAATCCAATAACCAGCAGTCTCGATGATACGGATTCGATCGTCATTCCAGTGGACAGAGTCACTGTTTACCTCGATAAATCGCTCAAGGTTTTGGGACTTCACACCGAAGCTCGAACATCATTCATAACGTACGTATATATGCGCTACCTCAGCCTCTCAAATCATAAACACATACTCACACTGTCGCGGTAGCTACTGGCTACCATCTATCCTCAAGCATGAATATATTGCCCTCCGATTTGTCCCTCAAGCGGCATACGAACGCGCCGCTTCTTTAAACATTTCTCCGCAGCCTGACGTCGTGACCCGCGTATGCATGTTGTTCAAAGGTATCTGTAAGGAGCACCTAGCAAATTGGCCTAATGCACAAATGCAAGCAGAGAACGACGTTGCTTGGTGGGTAGACGTAGTTGGAGTTGATCCTACAAGAGCTGGTGATGTGACCTTGTTCAGGGTGTTGGAATGGGGCGGGGTGGAGGTTCTTATTTGATATTTTATCGAATCAATTTGTGTAAGTGTCATGACGTTTCATCTTGGTCAGTTTTGCATCCGATGGCTGTGAGGAGAACAGGAGCATCGTGTCGTAGATCGTTTCAAAAATTCGATCGACTAGAATTAGGGTCTCCCCATTAATTGCAACTGTGTATTATAATGTGCAGGGAGCCTCTGAACACCAGCTGCTACTAAACTTATATATGCAAATGACTACAGTAGTAAGGGCCATAGCCACAAATCGAAATTGCACCCCAAAGATAATGAATACACCAACCATAAATCATCAGGTCTGTCCGTGCCGCCCAACCCCTTCTCGCAAACAGTCAACATACTCGGTCAAAAGCCGCACCTGTTCCAGCGTCTCGATGGCCGTGATCGCACGCTCGACGAGTTGCAAAATATCCCTCCTCACATAGTTCTCTAGGCCATCGGCGCCTTCTGCTGGGTTCGGTGATAGATCCACATTGATCCACCCGCACAAGTCAGTGCCCAAGAGCAACGACAATGCACGAGGATACTTGCACCACGCATGGTGTAATCGTCGATGAGTTTTGTCAGGGACTCGTCTAATGACTGGGGCGATAGCGGAGCAAGGCCTTCCGGCAGTGGTATTCTGCAAGTATGATGAAAGTGAGCCACGGAATGACTCAACAGACGCAGTACTTACCGAAGGATGTCCATACCTGCCCGGTGCGCAGAGCTCCCGTAATCTGACCAGCATATCCCGAGAAAATCGAGCTCTTCGGCATCCAGACAACTACAAAACAGTCAACTAAGCACAGAACACGCCAATACGTCAACTAACCAGACAATACAGCGTGCTCCGACTTGACTTATACGCCGTAGATCAGTGTCGAGATCTCGACAAACGGCGCTACGCCGTCTGACCCGACTTGCGAGGCGCACTAGTAACCGTTTTGACGCTAGTCAGCAAATTTGTACACTTGTGCCTTGAGTCAAACGTACCCTTCTTTCCTGGACACGAGGACGGCATCAAGTTACCCAGCTTGAAACAGCGCTTGGTGCCATGGGTATTTGATGTTGAACGGAGTAAGGAAGAATGCGCGGGTGTTGAGGGTAGTAATGGAATTCGACTATGACTGGCTGGGAGCAATCTTGCTGCAACGGTGATGGCGAACTGCCTCGTGTCTTGAGCGTCTATGGAAACGAAAAAGGTTAGCGCTGTGAGATAACATAAAAACGCACAATCTACGCACCTCTGTAACTTAGAGGAAGACACCCACAATCCCTCGACCGTGGTCAACACCATCAACCTGCAGTAAAATGTCACAGCTCATTCGAAGCACCACACCCATTCGAACTTTTGAAGATCATGAGCGGTTCATACAGGAAGTCGCAGTGTTCCCCGACAACCGACGAATGATTACGTGTTCGGACGACAAGACATTTCGTCTTTGGGACTTGGAGACAGGTGTTGTGTTGAAGAAGATGGAAGGGCATAGCGGTGAGGTGTGGGCATTGGCGATATCGCGAGATGGTAAAATAATAGCAAGCGGTGATTCAAATGGAGAGGTCATCGTCTGGGACGGAGAAACTGGCGAATCCATCACTCAACCCATCAAAGCCCACCCCAGCATAATCTATTCTTTGGATTTTTCTCTGGATGGAATGGTGCTTGCCACTGGTTCAGGTGACGACACGGTGAAGTTTTGGTGTACCAAAACGTGGCAGATGCAAGGAAATCCAATCAAGTGTGGCAGTGAGGTCAACTGCGTTCGATATTCACCTTCTGGTGAACTTCTTGCCATCGCAACAAGAGACAATATCCAAATTTATAATCCAGGCACAAGGAAACGCGTCGCATATTTGACAGATGTCAATTCATGGAAGTCACTTGTGTGGACGCCTGATGGCACACGCCTTCTTTCAGGGAGCGATAATTACATACTGGAGTGGGACACATCAACCTGGCAGCAGGTCGGTCAGCCCTACAAAGGCCACACTAGTGATATCTACACCATTGCCATTCATCCCGCTGGCGCCCTCGTCGCTTCTGCATCTGAATTCGACTACTACATCCTTCTCTGGCGGCTCTCAGATCAACAAACCATCGCCGTCTTTCAGGATTCATCCATCCCTAGATGTGTCATGTTCTCTGTGGACGGCAAGCACATTCTCAGTGGAGGTGATGATGATAAGCTCTCAGAATGGGTGGTACAGCATTCACAGGCAAGTTTCCATTTCTGACACTCATTACGCACTTCGAGCATCCTTCGTACAGATCCTTGATATCACAACAGCCCGCGATGCTTGTCTATCGCTGAAGGGCTGCTCACCCAAGAGATCCACGCCAACGCCAACGACTTTGCTTCATATGCCAATCGTTCCTTCGTTATGGCCCGGAAGCACGACTTGGACAACGCCCTTGGGGATGCAATCAAGGTGCGATGGACCCACCCATAATTGTCATGTTACAGAACGCTAACATTCATCCGTGACATAGTCAATCAACATCAAACCATCATTGATTGGCTTCATCTCGGAAGGCATCGTCCTCTGCGCAAAAGGTCGCGTCCAGGAAGCAAGGGTAGCATTCGACGTTGCATCCATGTTCACGAACCAAAATCCAGAAACCAACCAATTTCTTCTCTTGATCAAGGTACATTTAATTGGTCTCCTATGCTATCGGCTTCATCCGGTATTCCAGGCCATCGCACTCTTTAACGCAGATCAACACAAGGAAGCATTGCTGCTCATCAAATACCTGGCTGCCGCTTGTCCCAGTGTCGAGCCTCCCGCGCGTCGTGTCGTGGAAGTGAGTATCATGTGACCGCACTCGGTCATCAATTCTAATATTCTCAACTTACACAATAGACATATCTACGCGTTCAACTCGGAATCAAAGCTTTCGATGGCGCGCATCACGACGAAGCCGCCGATCACTTCACTGCCGCTATGCACTCAGACGCTTTCTCATCGAAATACATTCATCTTGTATGCCAGGACTTGACCGTGGTGCGTCGATATGTTGCATACATAATGCTTTCCATAACCTAGTACTTTGTGCAGCTCTTCGGCTGGGATCTCGAGTCCTTGCTGCTCACCACGCACCAGAAACGGTGCCAGGCTTTCCTTTCGGCAAGTAAACCTGATGAAGCCCTCAACGCACACAAATACATGACGGACGCCATGGACGAGACTGCGAAAGCCAGCTGCCTCGATTGGTCCAATGGCGAGTTTTATTGATGTCACCCGAGGCCATCATACTCACCTGCATTTGACTCAGAATTCAAGCAACAATGTAGCGTGCTATGTGCTGCCAACGGAAATTCCGCCCTCGCCGCGAATGATTATGACAAGGCTATCTACCTATACTCGGCGATAATCAACTCGAACTCTGCATCTGATGTTGTCTTTGCAAATCGTAGCAAGGCGAAGTTAGGCAAAATGCTATGGATGGAAGCGCTCCTCGATGCGCAGAAGGTGCGATCTGAGCTATCGTCCCATAACCAGTGCTCATTGTAGCGATGCATAGGTCATCGAACTCGACCCTTTTTCTTATCTTGGATACAACTTGAAGCACGCAGCGCTTCATGGTGCGGAGCGCTATGATGAAGCGATTGAGACCTTCCAAACGATGCTCTCGATATTGGACAATGCACCTGATGTTCAGACACGAAGTAAGTCTCTGATAACGCATTCGTCGACATGTTTAACTCTTTCTCCAGACCTGCGCCAGCAGTATCTCAGACCTTCTGAAGTGGAATGCGCCATTCGACGGGTCATTGATGCCCAACTCGACGATGCTCCGTTGCGTCTACTCGACACCACCACAGGTCTCTTGTGCGATCGAGAGACACAGATAGGCACCTTCAAAATGAGCGCGCAGTATAAGGAGCTCGTGTCATCAACAATCACGCATGTAGACTTGCACATCGAGCACATCTATGAAGTGGTGAAGAGATACCTGCAATATGCCATGCTGTCACACAGGTGGGAAGGGAAGGAGCCGCTGCTGCACGATATCCAGGGCAAGTGCGTATACGACTCGGAGTTGGATTCGATTGGCGGCATTACGAAACTACGGTCGTTCTGTAGAACTGCTCGTGATGCGGGGTATAACTGGGCATGGAGCGATACATGCTGCATCGACAAGAGCAACAACGTCGAAGTGCATGAATCGGTCAACTCCATGTTCGTATGGTATCATCATTCCGCGCTCACGATCGTCTACCTGTCTGATGTTCCGCCTTCGTCAAAGTCTGGCGGACTGACGAGGAGCGCTTGGAACACGCGGGGATGGACGTTTCAGGAGTTCATTGCTCCCAAAGTCATTCTCTTTTATCAGAACAATTGGACTCTTTATCGTAATGATCGTACTCCCAACCACAAGGATTCCATCGCAATCATGCAGGAGATCAAGGACGCGACGGGCATAGACCGACCAGCAATTACAGCTTTCCATCCCAGTATGCACAACGCACGAGAAAAACTCCATTGGGCGTCAACCCGCGTTACTGCGCGTCAGGAAGACATCGCATACTCTTTATTTGGCATCTTTGGCGTCCGTCTACCTGTAGATTATGGTGAGAAGCAGGACAAGGCTCTCGGGCGGCTCCTGCAGGAGATTGTCGCTCGGTCGGGGGATATCACTGGCCTCGATTGGGTCGGAGAATCATCAGAGTTCAACAGCTGTCTACCAGCCTCCATCACTTCTTACGAAGCTCCACCATGCCAGCTACCACCCCTACCTGAGGAAGAAATCCAGTCATCGGTTTCTTCGCTGCGAAATACGGTGGCTACTGATTTCGCTTCGAACCTTTATACCCTGCTTCAGAACACGAGCGCCCCTCGCTTCGCAGCACAGAGACTGCATCTGCCTTGTCTTGCCTTCAATGTCAGGAAAGTCAGACGAGTGCGTAGTCCGGCCCCGGAGACTCATTTCACGTATGAAGTGAAGGCGGACGGACTTCACGACTTGCTTATCACCACTGGAGAGACCCTGGTTCAATTCTGGCCGGCAAGGCCCACTCAGCGAAAATTTGTCCTTGTCCGTCCCTGGGATCGGTCTCTCCTGGAGCTATCTGAATTTGTAGAACCGTCTGACTATGGAAATGATACGGAGAGTGAGAAGGATTATGGAACGTCGCCTTCTCCGTCAGACGATTGGGCTGGTGGTTCTCCTGTAGAACAGGGGATGTCTGACCTGGAATCACAGGCATTGCGGTTGCTTGTTCACCTTGGACAGCCTTTCGGCGCATTTTTGCTGGCGCAGCAGCGCAGTGGGGAATACAAGAGGATTGCGACGGATTATGATATCATTGGACAGGTCAAGGACGTGGCTTCTGTTGGAGATTTGATGGACATCAGGACTATAGAAATATTGTAGTCGTATGTTTTTATTTCAAAGTTTTTGGACTACCTAAAGATGATACCATACAGCTGCAGCATACGTATCACACACGCATGTTAGATGTGGTTTTCGCACATAGGTAGCAGCTCGGGTCCAAATTATGCTCCCAGTTCAGTCGCTTCCCTATCATTTTTGCAATCCTTCGTTCGTGCTCAAAAAATCCTCAGAGGGGAGGACCGCAAAAAGTTAACAGTAATCTGCAAATTGGCATCATTATGTCTTTCGATGGGTAAACATTCTACGTCCCTTTCATTCTTCCCGGTCCAAAAATCGTGCATTGGCAACATAAATTACTGCTATAATGAATATCAGACCAGTGGCACAGCGTGTATACCTATCATCCCAAAGTTCCTCCCTACTCATATCGACCCAAGCGCACCTCCATTTGTTTTCGAGGTAGTATCTGACGTCTCCCGAGTCAATCAGGCCATAGGGTTCCAATGGCACAAAGTCAAGGATCCGGAAAGTCAGGTTCTCGATGATCTTGGTTGTTAGACTATCTGGGACACCGTCCAACAGCACATCGAGGAACCATGACAAAGTCCCCCCCCCCTGAACCTGCTCAAGCTCGGCGAGACAGCTTCGAACATCCCTCTTCGGTGATTGAACGCATGGTCATCACAGACATTTCGTGGATGCGAACCCCAGCTTAGGTCGAGCTGACACCTCCTAGTGACATGCATCCTTTTAGTCTCTCGCATCACTCGGGTTTCCAGAAACTCGCCTGGAATTATCATTGACGAATCATCCTTCTCCCTTCCTCCAGACGATGACGTATGATCATTCGATTTCCTTTACTACATAAGCGCGCATCATACATGAGAATGGGAATTAAACTATTCTCCTGCATGGAGATTTGTAGGTCAACACATGTGATGGACTGCAAGCATGAAAAAGATTGCCGATGGGCATGCCCGACGCGCCATGAATGTACCAGTAACTGGACAAACACCTCCCGCGAGTCAAAGTTTCGGGCATAGATTGCTCTACATATCTAATTTTTGATAGTATATATCGATCCACATACGGCAAGGTGACTTCAGCCAGCAATGCGAGGAGTTTCCAGTGGACCAGTGCTTTGCCCCATCGTCTGTTATTGCGCGTAGGATATCCGAGGTGCAAGAAGAGCTTCGGACACGAAAAGGGATTGATGCCACGCATGTTGTCATGACGAGCGACGAAAGGGACCCGGAATGGTGGTCAGATGTTAGGGCGTTGGGGTGGACGTGAGTAGATTATGCAGCGGAGCGGACAGAGGAGATCTATGGAAAACGGTGAGCCGATTGGATGTCATATTTCCACTCTGACGCTAACTTAAGTTGTGGCTGCTACCAGGCATCCGATGTTCATTGATGCTATCATTCAGTCGAATGGAGCTGGCTTCGTTGGCACTCGTGGTTCTACGATGTCCACACCAACTAGCCGCAGAGTACAGTCGTGGCATGACGGAGCGACTCGGTTAGATGGGGATGGCCGGGCGCGGACGACCACTGATGCTGATCGGAATGGTAGAATCGAGACTACTTTGTATTTCACAAATCATTGGCGGCAATGTTCTTGTATTTTTTATTTATGATGCGAATAATGGTCGCTCTCGGGCTCGAATTCACAGGCGAAAGTAACAAAAGCTTAATCTTCTTGATGCATAGTACTGGAAAAGTTCCCTTACTGACGGGGATTAACGTTTAACAATCAAGACGCACCATAGACATGCAGATGCCTTATACTAGAGCCGTAAGGTGAGCGGCCATGAGACTTGAGCTTGAAAGTTTGTTGGAGAGGTGTGATACTCGCTTCATGTCTCGGTAAGGTTTGACGCTGAAGACAAATATCGGACGCACGTAGCCAGTGCAGTCCGTTATGACCAGTTGGGAGCATTCTTGCTGAAACGGTGATGGCGCACTGCCTCGTGTCTTGGGCGTCTATGGAAACAAGGAAGGGTTAGCGCGGTAGGGTTCCGGGAATTAGGGTATGGCGTCTGGTTGACCGGCAAATTAGCATGGCCCTCGCAGAGGGCCAAATTTACAGGTGTGAATGACACGAAATTCACGCAAATTTACTGACGGGGGTTCGGGGGCAGAGCCCCCGAAAGCTCTAGCTTTTTGACGCTAATTTGCGTTAATTTGCAGGTGAATTTCACCTAATTGACTGTAATCTACTCCGCAGACTCCCATATCTCCCACTCGCCATCCATCGGTGTCGTCGACGAAGTCACAGCGTCAGCTGTCAGCTTGGATGGAGGTCCGTGACTCACGGGAGCCGGCTCAAGCTGCACAGGCTGGTCTGAGAGAAGATCGAGAAGGAATCCTGATGCTAAGTTAATGTGATCACCAACATCGAACCTGTCGCTGTCTTCTCCATCGAGGCTCACATCATCATCATCATCAGGCCACTGTCCCTCACTGGTCTCGTCATCTGAGTCGCTCATGGCAATATCTCGTTTCATAGGTGGTCGGGCAGGTGGTGGAACAACTGTTGGCTTCTCAGGTCGTTGATCACCAAGGATGGTTGCGTGCATATCGCGCCATTTGATCGAAGGAGCCGTTTTTGACACCGCTGACTGAATTAGATGTACATGAGTCTTTCAATAGTCCAAATGAGCAAGAGAAACTTACATCAGGTTTCCAGCGGTGCCACTGGCAAATTTGAATGGTTTCTTTTAATGTTGCAATGTCTTGTCTGCTCCGAGTAGGACTATTGAGCTAGGGCTGTTCGCCGTACGCCGTATTACGGAACTGTACGGGGCCGTAATACGGTCGCCGTATCCGTACCGTTGGCTGTTTTGGCCTTCAGTTGACGGTTACGGTGTATGGGTATCAAAGTACCGTATGTTGCTGTATTTGTACGGCCGTAATACGGGGTAAGTACGGCTTTTCTATAAACTACATGCCTTGACGCTACATGCAGTAGGCACATGTCTTTAGGGATCCGCACGGGTATACCCTGGGGTGTCGGGGACCTGACCCGCACCCGCACCCGGCAAAAACCCGTACCCGCTCTGACGGGTACGGGTTTTCGGCGGGTACAACAAGCTCAGACCCGTACCCGCACCCGTGCAGGGTTTACCCGCGGGTACCATAGGTATCACCACCAGTGCTTAGCACATATGTCCAGCACACGTCAGCGAATGCTGACGTGACTCGAACATATGTGGATGGCACAAGGAGTGGAGGCACGGGCAAATTTGCTGGCGCACGCTGGGCGTTCGCGCATGGCATCCATCGCGTTGGGAACGTGGCGAACTGTGAACGGTGGGCGACGACATGGATCAACATGGCTCTTGCTCGAACGAGGATCAACGGACTCACAGTCTGCGAACGGTGGGCAATGACTCGGATCAGCATGGCTCTTTCCCGAATGAGGATCAACGGACTGACCAACTGCGAACGGTGGGCAACGACTCGGATCAGCATGGCTTTTGCTCGAACGAGGATCGACGGACTCGGACTCATGAGAGCGTGCACTGGATGCACGAGAGGGTGGATTGGAGCCATGAGAGAGGTGCGCAGGATGTACAAGAGGGTGCGCGCGATGTATGAGAGGGTGGAGGTCTGAGAGGTGCGAGAGGGTGTGCCAGATGTACAAGAGGGTGCGCGGGATACGAGAGGGTGTGCGCAATGTATGAGAGGGTGCAGCGGAGGTCTGAGAAAACGAGCAAGGAGTAAAGACAAGAAAGAATGATAAAGGACAACTCACATGACAATAGAATTCAGCTGTGGGACTTGACAATAAAGTTACTAAAAATTATCAGTTAGTGTGATGAAAACACGCACCTTTGCAGCCCTAATACCACCAACTCCCCATCTAGAGTCGACTCTACATGCGCCGCGTGCGCGCGCTGTGAATGCACCCAAGCGTAGAATGGCTACACTGCGACTGTGACGGGTACATCACGGGTACGGGTATTTGCGCGGGTCACAAAATCCTGACCCGTACCCGTACCCGGCAGTACCCGTACCCGCGACCCACCGCGGGTTACCCGTACCCGTGCAGTTCCCTACATGTCTTATTTCTCAACGAGTCGTTCCGGACCTGATCCTCACACCATGGAAATCCTGCGCCGCGGGTGCTCTACCTTATATGAGCTGTCGCTCATTGGCATGTTCGCCAGCTCCTGCCTGATCCAAATGGCATCACACTCCCAAAGCCCGTTCAATTTCTCTTCCGTCAACCAATTCCATCCCTCATCACCACCTTCCTCTGTGCCCACCTCCCAAATAGTTGAGATCGCTCCCCGCTTCTCCCATCCGCCCCCTTGGCCTCCAGGGCCAGCTGATCAGTAGAACTCCTCACCGAGAATAGTCCTTCACCGGCATCTGCTACCTCTTCTGGCGGTGCACCACATGCCTCAGGGAATTTACGAAGATTGGCACGCGAGGCATTGACCCAATGCAGGAGGCTCATCATATGGTTTGCGTAACCGCGCCTGCGCTTCGAGGGTGGAGTGAGTCTGACGCCGTCCGAGACTCGTTCCGTATGTCGTACCGTACCGTATTACGGCCGTACCGTACCCCGTACCATACCGTCAGCATTTTTTTTTCAACTGTAATATACGGTTATGTTGGGACTTTGTACGGTTGACGGACGTACACTATACGGCCGTATACCGTATACGGTACGGTGAACAGCCCTATATTGAGCCACGTTACGGTTGACACGGTCCTCTCATCAGCCATTGACACTGGTACCACAGAATATAGCTTGATTGCAAGAGCCTGACACAAGAACAGAACTTTAGTGAAATGAACCAATCGAGTAAAAGACTTTATCACCCCAAGAACCTGCACATTTTCATCCTTCTGGACAGCTAGCCACCAATCCCAAACATTCTCATTTTTATGAGGCTTGCGGTTGAAAGGATCTGTGCCTTTGTAATACTCCTTGAGCTCGACCTTCATTGACTGCAGAGCCTCTTGTGGTGTCAATCCAGCCAAGCGTGGATTTTGATCCAAGTTTCGAGAACATCCACAACAGCTTCTGTCTCTGGCCCTCGCTCCACGATTTTCAGGCCACCAGCATGACTGCCAAACCGGACCTCTAATTCTCGGTTGACAGCTGCAGCCTCTCCGATTTCTGCGGTCCAATCGAGATCTGGGCTGAAGTTGGAAAAATTATATGTTGATTCCTTTGGAATAGGAATGTTAGACGGTAGCGCCTTGAGATACTGTCGCAGTTCAGCCAATCTATCCTTGAGATTTGGCTGCATGTGCGCTGTTGGGATTATCAGGGACTGATTGAAGTTCTTAGTTTTTACAATATTTTGGTTGTCATTGGCATAATGATGTTCGACCAAATATAAACCTTATTTCAACTATGTAGATACTAGAGCCACAATAAGCTATGTGAATCTTTCAAGTGTCCGAGCTGTCAGGATTGTCCAGTATATCATATTTAAGCTTTTCAGGTGTTCTGGGTCCAGTAGACACAAATTCACCCAAATTGACACTATGTTTTCGAGGGTGTGAAATTGACACTGTCATTCACAGTAAATTTGCAGGGTAAATTTGCCGGGCTAATTTGCCTGGTGCAAATTCCCGGAACCCTATAGCGCGGTGAAGTGACATAAAAACGCACAATACACGCACTTCTGTAACTTAGAGAAAGACGCCCACAATCCCTCGACCGTGCTCAACACCATCAACCTCCAGTAAAATGTCACAACTCATTCCAAGCACCACATCCATTCGAACTTTTGAAGATCATGAGCGTGCCGTAAATGCAGTCGCGGTGTTCCCCGACAAACAACGAATAACTACGGGTTCGGACGACAAGACACTTCGTCTTTGGGACTTGGAGACAGGTGTTGTGTTGAAGAAGATGGAAGGGCATAGTAGTGAGGCGCTGGCATTGTCGGTGTCCAGAGATGGTCAAATGATAGCAAGCGGTGATCATGATGGAGAGGTTATCGCCTGGCACGGTGAAACTGGCGAATCCATCACCCAACCCATCAAAGCCCACTCCAGGAAGATCATCTCCATCAGCAAAATCACTGATTCACTTTTTGTACTTAAATGACTTAATAAGCACAAATAAGCAAAAATCAGCGGGCAACTTAATCAGGCATGTCAATCTCTGATTCTCATCTTAATCTTACTTATCCCTCTGGTAGTCAGAAGAAAAAGTGCGCATTGCAAACAAACAGGAAAAAAAGTAAGGAAATATAAGGCGGCAAAGCAACTTGAATGTATTAGTAATAGTACTGGTAGAAAACGGGTAGGAAAAATGTGCGAGTCTGTTATTGGCATCAGCGGGAAAGAAAAGAAATGTTGTGTCAAAGCCCATAGTACTAGGGTAGTATTCTATTTAAAAAAAGAAGTCAGCAATGATAACGCTAAGTGGAGAGAGAAACTTTACAAATGAGGGCGCGCTCGTCAATGCTCTGAGTCTCCTCCATATCTTCATCCGAGGCATCTCCCCTCGCAGACTTCTTCATATACCTTCGTGCACGCGAAATAATGATTAGTTTAGAGTCCTCGTTCCTGTTACCGATCGACTTCATGTATGCTTCTGTCTCGTCGTGCCAATTGGCGAAGGAAAATTTGTAACATCCGCTCGACATCTTGCCCGTTACCTTGTTGCGTTTCGCCGGGAGCTTGACAGAAAACTTGCCAGTGGCCATAGACGCGAGAACTTCATCGACATTGATGATGCTGTCTTCGACAAACTTGAGGGCACGTTCAAGCTGGAAACAATCAGAAAAGAAACATGGTTTCAAATTTAAAAAAACTCACGGCAACGACGCAGAGCACAATAACACCGTCCATACCTTTTCCCAAAGTGAGCTCGTCAGTATTCAATGCGGGTACACTGGCATG